CAGGATGGTAATTAAAAGCATGGGCTCTGTGATCAACCTGTGTGGGTTCAATTCTTGGTTTTCCCTCTTAGTAGCTGTATTACCTTGGGGAAGTCCTTTAACCTCTCTGTGTCTCAGTTTTCTCATCTGGAAATTGGGGCTAATGATAATACTGACCTCACAGATTTGTTGAGAGAACTAAATAGGAGGATTAAATGATGTTAAGTGGTCATGAAGGGACTGGTGCACAGTAAACAGTTAATAAAAAAGCAGCTGTTATTTTCAAAACATCTTTTCTCTTCTAAAAGTACCATTGCTTTGGAGCTGGCCTGGTGGCATAGTGGTTAAGTTTGGTGCTCTGCTTTGGCAGCTATACACAACTCATTGGCCACGCTGTGGTGGCGTCCCACATACAAAATAGAGGAAGACTGGAAGAGATGTTAACTCAGGGCCAATCTTCCTCAAGCAAAAAGAGGGAGATTTGCAACAGATGTTAGCTCAGGGCCAATCTTTCTCACCAAAAAAAAAAAAAAAAAAGTAGTACCATCGCTTTGATTTATTTTGCACTCCACTCACATAGTTCTTCTTATCTTTCAGATTCTCAAGGTTTTTGTGTTTTCAAAGGCTGCTGTGTATTGGGAAAGGTTGAGTAATCCTGTTCTAGAGATGGACATGCTGAGAAAGAGGCTCAGGAGATGGAGTGGAAGAGAAACTGGAGCTGGAGAGGGGAAGATGCAGCGATGGTGACCGGGAGGAGGTCACTGTGCAACCTCGGGAATGGGGGAAGGAGTAGCTGAGAAGAAAGCCTGTATGTGTGTTCTCCGGACCCTCGGTCGCAGCCTCCTCCCTGGCCTCTTGCCTCTCTCCTCCAGTCCATCCCTGACTCGGCCCCAGAGGGACCTTCCTACACCCAGAGCTGACCCTGCTCAGAGCCCTCCCGGGGCTCCCCAGTGCCCCCAGGATAAAGTCCCAGCCCCTGGACCCAGCCCTGCAGGTCCAGACCTTGCCACCACGGCAGCCACATCTCCCGCCTTTGCTCACACACTACACTCCCGCTTAGGACCCTGGCCATGGGCTGTCCCTGGGCTATGACACCGGCAAGGCCCTGCCTGAGCAGCTGGGGAGACAGAGGGGCTCAGAAGTGATGGGCCCCAAGTCATCATCCCTGAACCAGCCCACCAACCACCCCCACTCCTGGACCATCCCACGGTCTCCCCAGTCACCAGGCCCGAGCCCAGGGCACTGTGCTCGTCCCCTCCACAGCCTGTCAATCCCCAGCCTCGGCCCTCCTGCCCCCTGGCTCCCTGATATTTGCAGAGTATTTGGGACATTGCCTGCACATAGCTAGTGCCACATATCTGTTAAGTCCCGTACTGTACATACACAGATACATAAACAAAATCCTTCAAGGTTCCGCTCACTGGTCAGCTCTTCCAGGAAGCCTTCCAGAACCACCCTGTAAGCTCTCAGATGGAGCTGACCGCTCCTCTCTTATCCTCCTCAACCTCTCTCTCACTATCGTGGGCCACTATTTCCATTTTTTTTTTTTTTTCTGTCTTTGTCTCCTCTATTAGGTTCTGAGCAGCTCAATGGCAGAGACCGTCTCTGGGTTCCAAACGCCCAGTGAAGAGCATGCACACAGCAGTTGCTCAACTTTGAATCAGGTCCTGTTAATACAGAGAGATTCCAGATCGGGCCCAAGCTTTTTGCAAGCTCTAACGTTCTCGATTTCTCTGGGATGATGTGTGTTTGACGCTGTTCTGCTTCCAGATCTCCAAGTCTCTGTTTCTAGAATAAGCAGTGAGTAAACTGCCAAGAATAGTAAGCTCACCACAAATGTTTAAATAACTACGGGGGAGAGTCACTGTTAAGAGAGAGCTCACTCCGTGCTGGACGCTCTTCTGAATGATTTGCGTGGATGAGTTCATTTCATCCTCACAAAACCTGTGAGATAGGTACTATCGCTTCTCCCATTTTCCAAGTGAGGAAACTGAGGCTCAGAAAGGTGAAGTCACATGCTCAGTGTCACCGGATAATCGGCAGTGGAGCCGTGGTCTGCACCCAGGCTGCTGGCTCCTGAGCCTGTGCTCTTGACTCCTGCCACAGCTGCCATTTGCCCAGCCACCCCGTGTCCCAGGCATCAGGTAAGCACCTTTCTGTGCATGGTCTCACGGTAAACTTGCAACAGCCCCACGTCAGAGAAGAGAAAACTGAGGCTTGGAGATGTGAGGTCTGTTGCCCAAAGCCACCCACCCAGGAAGTGGTGGAGCGCATCTCAAGCAGCCTGAAGGCAGAGTCTGTGTTTCTTAAGCACTTCGCTCTCCTCTGTGGCTCCCCAACCAAGGGTCTCAAACTCAGGCACGTAAGGGGGCCAGGCAGGCAAAACAAGGAAGTGGCAGTGCTAAGGATGAGGTGGCAGAGAGCAGCGGGGTCTGGGGCAAACCTGAGTGCCAATGTGTGGTCTAAATGTGGCGGCCGACTGCCACACGGGGAACGTGGCCTCAGCCTGCTCCAAGGGAAGTTGGAAACCCAGTGTTGTATGGGGAATGTTCCTGGTTTAAAATTGGGGTCCATTTAAACACCACTGGCCACCTGGGTGTGTCTCTTAGCTCTGTTTTGGATGCCTTACTTGCCCCTCATTGTATCATTACGGTTGGAGGGAACTATCTGTGAGCTTGTTCATATAACATCAGTCTTCCTATCCAGTCTGAAAGTTCCAGAAGCGGAGGGAGTTTGTGTCTTTCTCAAGGACACCCCCACCCCCACCCCTGGCCGCCTGTGAAATATCCCCAGCCCCCAGCATGGGACCTGGCCCTCTATTTACTGAACGGATCTTTTTCTCTTTGTCCTGTGGCTTTCTCTGCAGCTCAGTCTCTATCTCTGATCTCTTTGTAAGTCTCCAAAACCTGGCGCTCACCTGATTTTCTGGCTCTGTCAGGTGTCTCTGGCTCCGTGTCTCCCTGTTTCTGAATTTTCCCTCTTTTTTTTTTTTTTTTTTCAGTCTTGGGTATGTGTGTCTATCCCACTCTCTGCCTCTCTACGGATCTCTATTAAAGTCTGAAAGTGGAGCCCACCCCGTCACTCACTGTGTGTGTGCCTTTGTCCCTCCAGCTCCCTGGCCCTGTCTCTCTCTCAGTAAGGCTCCCTCGTTGATTCTCTCTGCCTCTCTGCAAGGTGTTATCTAGCTGCTTTAGTCTGCATCCCTCCCTCCCAGTTTCTGGATGAGGGCTCTCTGCTTCCCCCTCCCCCTTGCTCCCCGCCCCCCCCACTCCCCAGCACCCAGCAGGGCGGCGGCTGGGCTCACGCACCCCACGGCGGGCCGGCTGGGCGCGCGCACGTCCTTGCACACCAGCCGCACGTAGCTGTACTTGAGCACGTCGATGAGCGTGTAGAGCGGGGGCGCGCTGGCCCAGCGGCAGCGTGCCAGGTGCATGGAGCTCTTGACGAAGAACAGCGCCAGCCGCTGCTGGCACCACGCATCGAAGAAGCGGCTGAACTCGGCCCACGAGAAGAAGGCCCGCTCCCGCAGCTCCTGCTCCTCCTGCCCCGCCGCCGTGCCGGGTGGGGGCTCCATCCTGGGGCGCCTGAGTGGAAGCAGTGGGGGACACGTGGATATCAGACCCATCTCCAACCGAGGGTATAGCACTTTCTCCACTCTCGGCCTGCCTCTTTGGTGCTGGTGTCTTTATGCAAGTGGGGCCCGGGGTGGGATGCACCTGGTTAATCACTAGATATGTGCTACCACCCCATCTTTGGCCTGCTCCCACCCCCTGCATTATTCCTGGGATAGTTGGAGCCTGATATCCTGATCCCTAATTCCAACTCTGGTCCCCTCTTCCATAGATGTGACCCCCTAAATACAGTGGGGGGTCCCTCTCTCAAAATATGACCCTTAAGCTCAGTTGTGGACACTTCCTCAAACGTGTTCCCAACTTTCAGCTAAGACCTCCTCCCCCTCCAGATGTGTTTCCTACAGTTGGCAGTAACCTCTAGGGCCGCCATTCATCTGGAACTCCTCCTTCTACGTCTGTACACTTGGCTGTAACCCGTATCCAGCTGTGCCTCCCTCTAAAGATGCTCTATATCCATAGGTGCTCCCTACATCCAGTCATGGACCCCTCACCCCCAGTCATATTCTTCATGCACCTGTGGCTCCCTCCTCCTCAGATGTGTCTCCAATATGCAGCTCTTTTCCCTCCCCCAGATGTGACCCCTATAGGTCGCCACATCCAGCTGTGGCCCCTGCTTCCCAGAGATGCTCCCATACCCAGACGTCCTCCCCACATCCCGTATGGACCCTTCACTTATAGATAGTGTGCCCCATTCACTTGTGGCCAATTCTCAGAAGTGTCACCAACATTCTTCTGTGGTCCCCTCCTGCCCAGACGCGCCGCCCAGTTCAGCTGTGGCCCCCTCCTGCCATCTACAGCTGTCATCTTTCTCAGATGTGCGTTCTCGCCCTAGACATGGCCCCTGGTCCTCAGACGGGCTTCATCACCCCAGATGCTCCCCCCCCCCCGTCCAGCTGCGCCTCCCTCCTCGTGCAGTCCCACTCAGCCGGCTCCCGCCTCCCCAACCCCTCCCAACCCTGACCGCCGCGGCCCCTCCCATCCCTGCTGTCCCACCCAGCTGTGCCTCTCCCCTCCCCCAGATGTGCACCCTTCCCGCCCCTCCCCACTCACCTACCCGCCCCGGAGCGGCGTCCACCTCCCACAATGCCCCGCGCTGAGGCCCAGCCCGGCCCTCGCTCCCGGGATGCCCCGCGCGGCCTCCCGCCTCTCTTCCCGCCGTTCCTCGCGCAGCGGTTTCCACCGAATCTCCCTCTTTCCCCGCCAGTCACTCCTCGGACGCGCAGCCACACCCGCTCAACGAGAGCGAGGGAAGGCTCGGGACCGTTTCCCAGCGTGCTCTGCGGGAGGGCTCGCCCCACTTCACCCCTTTCCAGGCAGCCTCCCGAGGGGGAGACTACAACTCCCAGCGTCCTCCCTGCGGCGGCGGCGGCGCGGACGACGCCCGGGCCCCGCCCCTCGGCCCCGCCCCGCCCCCGCCCGCCGAAGTCTGCGCGCGAATTCAGTGGCGCGAATTTGGGGCCGCAGTCGAGCGCCGAGTGGTTCCGGGTGTGGCGCCCAGGACAGCGGCGCGCGGAGCCGGCGCGAGGCAAGTGGGGCCGCCCGCGCGGGCCTGGGGGGCGGCGCGCGTGTCGTACGCTCGGGGCCCATGGCTCCGCCGGGTCTGTCGGCTGCAGAGGAGCGGACGTAGGGAATGCTGAGACGGCCGAGAGCGCGGTCGGGAGGGGAGAGCGCCAGCAATGGGCCGCTGGGTGGGGCGGGGGAGTCCGCCGGAGGGAGAGGGCCAGGTAGAGGGTGGACGAGGGCGGACGAGGGCCGAAGGCGGTAGGACCGGATACGTTTTGAGAGGCCTGGAGGGGCGGGGCCTCCGGAAGGGGCGTGGCCATGAAGATAATGGGCGGGACTATCAGGAAGTTGGAAGGGCTGGGGGCGGGGCCTCTTGGAAGGGGGCGTGACCATAGAGGCATGAGGGGCGGTCTGGGAAAGGCTGTGGATGGGCGGGGTTATGTGGAAATTGGAAGGGCTGGGGGGCGGGGCCTCCTGGACGGGGGCGTGGCCATGGAGGGATGAGGGGCGGTCAGGGAAAGGCTGTGGATGGGCGGGGCTATCCGGATATTGGAAGGGCTGGGGGCGGAGCCATAGAGGGATGAAGGGCGGTCAGGGAAAGGCTATGGATGGGCGGGGCTATCCGGATATTGGAGGGGTTGGGGGAAGCGGGGCCACCTGGAAGGGGTGGGGCCATAGAGGGATGAAGAGCGGTCAGGGAAAGGCTGTGGATGGGCGGGGCTATCCGGATATTGGAAGGACTGGGGGCGGGGCCATAGAGGGATGAAGGGCGGTCAGGGAAAGGCTGTGGATGGGCGGGGCTATCCGGATATTGGAAGGGCTGGGGAGGCGGGGCCACCTGGAAGGGGTGGGGCCATAGAGGGATGAAGGGCGGTCAGGGAAAGGCGGTGGATGGGCGGGGCTATCCGGAAATCGGAAGGGTTGGAGGAGACGGGGCACCTGGAAGGGGTGGGGCCTGGAAGAGTTTAATAGTGGGCAGGCCAGGCCAAAGGTTGAAGGAGAGGTTGGCTTTAAGGGATGGGCCCGGCTGGATAGAGTAGGGGCCAGGGAGAGGTCAATGGTCACGTCCAAGTCTAGGCAAAGACCTCATGAAAGGTAGGGAACCTCCTGGATACGGTGAGGTTTGGCTTTGTGTATGGCTGATGAGGGGGCGGGCGGGCTGGGCAGCAAGAAGGGGTCGGGCCACAGAGGAGGTTTCATCTCATCTTAGGATCCCCCTGGGAACTCGCTAGGCCTGTGATTTCCCCCTCCATTCGCAGAGACTCGGTTCTGGAGGTCTGGGAGTGGGCTATATTTTATACAGGAATCCCACGTGGTTCTCAGAACTGGCAGCTCTGTTTTCTGGCATCCATCGTTGACCACCCGCGTGGCCCCGGGTGACGCTCTTTTCCTCTCCCGTCTCAGCTTCCTCGGTTGTGTTTGGAGGGTGCTGAGCTGTTTTAAGCCTCCGAGGTTGAGGGAGAGTAGTGTGTTTAGGGAAAAGCCGTGAGATATTTCGCAGGAGTGGGGTGTGCCCAGGAGAACAGACAGGTCAGGGGATGTGAGCTTTTAGTAACTAGAAGAAATGCGGACTTGGGCCTTCTGGCCTGTCATCCTCCAACTGTTCTCTGCTACAGGCCCGGCCCTTTCCATTGCTCCTTGTCCACAGGGCCTCCAGGTTTTGAAAGATCCTGCTTATAAACCCTCATTTCTTCAGTAATGATGTTTTGTTACCCCAATTTTTAGTAATCAAAGGCGTGCGTATAAGCCAGGGCATTCAGTGCCAGGCACTGTTTTAGGTCCTGTGGCCTTATCACTGAACAAAACAGACAAAATCCCTTTCTTTGTGAAACTTAACATTTTAGCCCTGGCTGCTTAAGGCAGTAGCCACCAGCCACATGTGCTATTTAATTTTAAGTTAATTAGCTATTTAAATTTAAATTAATTCGAAACAAATGAAAAACCCAGCTCTGCAGTCTCACTAGCTGCATTTCAAATGCTCCGAACAGCATATGGCCAGAGCTGCCTTTTTGGACAATGCAGAGATAGAACGTTTCTATCATGCAGAAAGTTCTGTTACGAGCACTGATCTAGAGAGTGAAACGAATTCTAATTTGTAAGGTCAGATTGTGCAAAACGCTGTGAAGAAAAAGAGTGAAAGGATAGTACACCGGGCCAAGCTGCCAGCAGCCAGCCCCGAGCTCCCATCAGTGGAGTGGCGAGAGGTGTTGACTGTGGGTTATCTTTTGAAGGGAGCGCCGTCGGGGGTTATTAGTAGCTGAGTTTGGGGTGTGAGAGAAAGAGATGAAGCAGTGGTAACTCCAAGGTTTCTTTTTTTTAATATTTAAGAAAAATCTTCCATATAGTAAAATTTACTCTTTTGGGTGTATAGTTCTGTAAATTTTGAAACATGAGTTTTGTAACTATCACCACACTCCAAATACAGAAAAGCTCCATCACCCGGAAACATGATTCCTGTGCTCCCTTTTGTAGTCAGCGCTTCCCCCTGGCACCCATTGCTCCCTCTTCATCCTGGCCCAGTATCAGTGGATCATTCTTACTTACTGCTGATAAGTGCAAACAGATTTTAGTACATCCTACAGTGGAGTACTGTTCAGCAACGAAAAGCGTTGTTTGGTGTCCCGCAGCTTGTGTATCCATTCACCCAGGGAAGGACATGTGGGTTTGCAGTTTTTGGTGATTATGAACAGACCTGCTGCTGTAAACATTCGCTGACAGGTTTTTGTGTGGACATAGGGTTTCACATGTAGGGGAAGTACCTAGGAGTGGGGTGGCTGGGTCTTAGGATCAGTGTATGCTTAACCGTTTGAGAAACTGCCAGACTTTTCCAAAAGTGACTGTACCGTTTTGCATTCCCACCAGAAGTGTATGAGAGTTCCGGCTCCTCCACGTCCTCACCAGCACTTGATATTGTCAGTTTTGTTTCTTTAATACTTAAAAAGTAGGTGTATAGAGGATTCCGAGCACCTGGGCAATTGGGTGAAAAAAGCTACCAATGCTGACATGGGGAACATTAGAGGGGGAATAAAACTGTGTGTGTGTGTGCGTCATCCAAGAGTTTGGTTTTGGTCCCACTGAGTTTGAGATGTTGGTTAGACACTCAGATGGAGATAGCAGCATAGAAAACTAGAAACGTGAGTCCTTGAATTTGAGGGGAAGTCACAGCTAAGTTAGACATTGTGGGGTCATCACCACAGAGTACGTTAAAGCCCTCACTGGATGAGCTCCCCTGGACAGAGAGGAGGCATAGGATGGGGCCTGGACACCGCACAGCTGGAAGGTGACTGGCTGTATTAGTTTTTGGTTGCTGCTGTAACAAATCGCCACCAACTGAGTGGCTTAAAGCAGCACAGATTTTATTCTTGGACAGTTCTGGAGGCCAGGAGTCTAAAATTGGTTTCACAGGGCTGAAATCAGGGTGTTGGCAGGGCTTTGTGCCTTGTGGGGGCTTCAGGGGAGAATCATTGCCTTGCTTTTTCCAGCTTTTAGAGGCCACTTGCATTCCTTGGCTCGTAGCCCCTTCCTCCACCTTCAAACCAGCATCTTCAAATCTCTGACTCTGACCTGCTCCTTCCCCTTGCAAGGACTGCTTTTCATCACTTATAAATGACTACATTGCACCCAGCTGAGTAATCCGGGATGCTCTCCCCATCTCAAAATCCTTAATCACGTGTGCTAAGTTCCTTCTGCTGTGTAAAGTAACATCTTCACAGGTCCAGGATTAGGATGTAGACATTTTTGGGGGCCCTTATTCTGCTCACCACAGTTGCTTTGGATGAACCATCAAAGGAGTCCAGGAAATAGTGGACACTGAGGTAGGAGGGAAACCATGAGAGTGTGGTATGAAAAAAGTATTTCAAAGGAACAAGGAGTCAGATGTTTCAAATGCTGCTGATGGGCCAAGTAAGATGAGGAATAAGAAATGACTTTTGGAGCCAGCCCTGGTGTCCTAGTGGTTAAGTTCAGTATGTTCCACTTCAGCAGCTCTGGTTCAGGTCCCCGGGCACAGACCTACAGCACTCATCTCTCAGTGGCCATGCTGTGGCGGTCTCCCACTAACAAAAAGAGGAAGATTGGCAACAGGTTTTAGCTCAGGGAAAATCTTCCTCAGCAAAAAAAAAAAAAAAAAGAAAGAAAGAAAGAAACGGCTTTTGGATTTAGCACCTGGGGAGGTCCTCGATTGCCTTGATGAGTGGGGGTCAGCAGAGTGATGTGGGAAAACTTGAAATGGAGGGTTCAAGAGGGGATGGGAGGAGAGAGACTGGAGATGGTGCCTTGTGACAGATGGTGCCTTGTGACAGTTCTTTCTATGACTTCTCTGAAGAGGGGAGCAGGGAAATGGGGCACTAAGTGCAGGGCGTGTGGGGTCCAGGAAGGGTTGTTTGTCTTTTTTTAAGATGGGAGAAATTACAGCAGATTTGTAAACTGACGGGAATGATCAAGTAGAGAGAAAAGTTGCTGAGGCAGGAGAGAAAGGAGAGGCTTGCTAGAGGATCGAGCTTGAGGAGGTGAGGGGGCAGGAGGTGTGGTGTGCAGGCGAAGGGGCTGGCCTGAAATGGGAGCACAAATGGGCGGTCCGCAGTAACCGGCGGTGGGAAGGCAGCACATGGGCGCAGGCGCAGTTGTGTGGCGAGCGGTGGGGGAGCTTGTCTTTCTCCTGACCACTCTCACTTCCTTGGCAGAGCGTGAGGGTGGAGGAGATGTTGGCAGTTGAGAAGCAGCTTGAAACAAGGTCTGGGAGACCAGGAGATTTGAATGGGGTAGAGAAATGGAGCAGCTTGTCTGGCAGCACGAAGGGCCCCGGGGACCAGTGCTCCTCAGCTCTGCGGGTCCAGGCACAGGGTAGGTGGACAGTTGGGTTTGATCAGCACTGGGTTTTGCTGGGTGAGAGACGAAATGGGGAGGCAGGAGCACGAGAGCAAGCATAGATGATAATGGTGCAGCGGAACAGTAGGAAAGGAAGGGCGGATGTGATGGGGACAGGGACAGTGAAAAGAGGGACGACTGACCGACGGGCATGTAGACCCAGGGAGGACTGAGGACCTTTTGGGGTTGGGTTCCTAGAGGAAGTAGGGGAGGTGTTTGGAGGATGGGCTGTTTGAAATTGAGATACATATGTGGGTATCATCAGTGTGTAAATGGGCCTTAACGCCAGGGCGCTGAGCCCCAGCTTCAAATCCAGAGGTTGCATTTTAGACGAGTTTGTTAATTGGTGTATTGGTTCCTCCCTTGTTTATTACCCTCTTCCTGTGTCTATCATTTGTTGGAGCACTGAGTCCTATTTCATCCTTATTTCTAAGGGACCCCTGAGCTTCTTCAAGGCAGACGCTGGGTTTCCTTTCCTGCTTGGCCCCAGAAACCCAGAAGTCTTGGGAGCCGTGCGTTCAGTGAATCCTGTGCGAGGATGCTCTGTTCTTTCCTGTGTGGAGATGAACCCAGGGGCTCCCTGACTGGTTGAGAAGAAGAGATCCCGACTTTTACAATTAATTCACTTTTACAGGATAGACTAGAACTTTCTAAAGTGAGGGGTTCTTCCCGATGCTTGAAGTTTTCGAAGGGGAAAGGGGCTGGATCATCTACTACATTATTACTTTTCCTGGATTCTGAGCGTTGAGCTGTATACTGAAATTATATTTTTATTCCTAATTTTAGGTTACTTTTTCTTCTTTGACACTTAGGAAAATTTTCAAACTTACAGAAAAATTGAGCAACTAGGATAATAATATGCCGTGACCTTGATTTTACAGCTGACATTTTGCTGTGTTTGCCTCAGCTGGTTTTCTGAAAAAACATTTCATATTTGGTATAGAAGTTTCAGACATACTGAGAAGTAGAGAGTAGCATAATGAACCCTGTTCCCCCATTACCCATCCCCAGAAATTATCAAAATGTGTCTGTATTCTCCTTCCTTCCCCCTCAAAAAAACCCTGAATTATTTGAAAGCAAATTTCAGGCATTTGTTGAAAGATTCTAAGTCATTTACAGACATCGTGACCGTTTGTGCCTATTTATTTCGGCATGCTTCGTTAAGCCATAAAGGTGCTTTCTGATATGTATTTCACACCTAACAAAATTAGCGGAATCACCGAAGGGCATTTGGGGTGGTGTGTGGCTAACTGTCATAATAAAGTCCGTCCCTGTGCGTTCCCCTCCAGTTTGCTTTAAGGAGAGAGGCTCAGTGTGGTGCCGGGGTGTCTCCAGCACTTGGCTGCCCACCACTTGGAGCAAACGGAGAGCAGCGGGTCTGGGCTCACAGCCCTCAGCAGCCAACGCTTTTGAACTAGAATTTAATGATCCGGTTTTGTTCTTTTTATTAATTTTTGCGGCTGTCTCCTCCTTGGGACGAGCGATGCTGTTCTTCTGTCTGTGGGGGTGCAGAGTGCCTGGAATCTGGATTTGAATCCCCCCTCTGCCACTTAGGAGCTCTGTGCTTCAGGGAAGGGATTTCACCTGTCTGTGCCTCAGTTTCCTCACCAGTGAATTGGGGTGAGAAATTGAAAATGCTTCATCGGGTTGTTGGGAGGCGCGGAGTGACATTACTGTTGTTACAGTTGTTATCCCAACAGCCCCAAGGGCTGGGGGCCACCTCCGTCTTCCTCAGTCCCGATACAGAAGGACCCCTGCCTTCCATACCCTCAGAATAGTTAGTAGTTAAGGGCATGCACTCTGGAGCCAGACATCTGGCTTTGGATCTTGACTGCAACTCATTAGGCTTTGTGACCTCAAGCCAATTACTTGACCTCTCTATGCCTCCCTGGCCTCATTTGTAAAATCGGTACAATAATGAATTCTAACAGGTTATATGCGAATTAATTCATCTAAAGCACTTGGAATAGTACCTGGCATCTAGTAAGTGCTCCAGTTAATAAAAAAGTTGAATCTTTTACAGAAAAAATATTAAGCGAAAAAAAAATTCAAGTCTTACGTAGATATGGCAGATATTGTGAAGGTAGTGTGAAGGAGGTCTGAAGTTGGGGAAACAGTTTTTGGAGGAGGTGGAGGTGAATCAGGCACAGCCCCATCGCTCCGGAGCTCCGAATCTGGCTCGAAAGAGACACTCAGAACACAGTCACAAGAGCACAGGGTGGCATAGTCCGTGTGTCCAGCGCTCAGAGCAGGCGGAAGGGGACTGGCTGTGGGGGAGCCCAGGGCATTCCCTGGAGGGAAGAGCCTGGAGGAAGGGAGGGGCTGGGAAATAAAATCAGAAAAGTTATGTGGAGCCTAGATTTATTATTTTTTAGAAAATTTAACAGGTAATAAATATGCATGGTTCAAAATAAAGTCAGGATGGAGGTGTACCGTGACAGGTCTGGCTCACGCCCCGCCGCCTCGTCTGCTCCCAGCCCCTTTTGCTGGTTTCTTGATTCTCTTCCTAGAGCTGCCTTTTGCAAATAGGAGCAATACTGCTGAGTACGTATGTTCTTATTTCCCGTCTTAGAAAATCGGTAGCAAGTTATACACACCATTCTGTCTCCTTTCTTGTTGGTTATTATTTAAAATTTTACCTCATATGCCCAGAAGTTCTTTCCGTATCAGTACATAGAGCATCTTAATGTATTTTTTTAACTTTTTGTGCTTTTAACATTGGCATCTGAGCTACCATCTGTTGCCAATCTTCTTTTTTTTCCTTCCTCTTCTCCTCAAAGCCCACCCCCCAGTACTTAGTCGTATACTCTAGTTGTAGGTCCTTCTGGCTCTGCTATGTGGAATGCCACCTCAGCATGGCCTAATGAGCCGTGCTAGGTCCGCGCCCAGGATCTGAACCTGTGAAACCCTGGGCCTCCAAAGTGGAGCACGTAAACTTAACCACTCGGCTTTGGGGCCGGCCCCCTGTTTTTAACTTTTTATTCTGAAATAATTATAGACTGACAGGAAGTTGTAAAAATAGTCTGTAGAATTCTGTGAACCCTGCACCATCTTTCCCCAGTGGTGACATCTTCATGTAACGGTGGTCCAAGATCAAAACCAGGAAATTAGCATCAGACAATACTGTTAGCTGGACCGCAAAGCTCCTTCAGTGTTTAGGTGGGTGCGCCTGTGTGCGCACGCGCGTGTGTGCGTGTGTGCGTGCGTGTGTGTGTGTGTGTGTGTGTGTGTGTGTGTGTGTATTTGATCCCGTGTTAAGGTCTGTGTAACCACCATCACCGTTGGGATATGGGAACCTTCCGTCTGCACCAAGGAGCTCCCTGGGCTGCCCCTTTCTAGTCGCCCCCCCTCCCTTTTGTCCCTCACCCCCGCCACCTCTAATCTCGTCTCCCTCTCGAGCTTTGTCATTCGGAGAATGTTACGTAAGTGGAATCATGTGGAATCATGCAGAGCGTGGCCTGGTGAGATGGTGCGCTTGCTCGCTTGACAGTATACCTTAGCAGCCGCTCAGCAGCTGGTTTATGCAGACCAGTGGGTATGAGTTAACCAACTGCCGTGTTTCACCGTCGTTTTAGGATATTACATAATCACCTCAAAACAGTTTTTCACTAACCTTAAAACTTCCCAAAAAACCCCAAACAAAATGGAAACAAACCATCAGGTCTTCAGTGTGTCCTTCGTGTTAGATGAAAAGCAGGCTCCACATGGGAAGGAGGCTTCTTGCTGTCTGAGTTGGGACTCTTCCTTCAGAATTAAATCTCACGAACAAATCACTTTGGTCCATCAAAACGAGAGTTTCTTCTTGATGGGGAAACTCATGTTTCTGACTTTGTGGGGCTTTTTCTTTCTGACAGAAGGAGGTGTATGTGTTTTGGTCTCTGCACAGCCAGTAGCCTCACCGAGTATTTGCATGTCTGTTCCAGGGGCAGCTGACCGGAGAGGAGGAGGCGGAGGAGAGGGGAGGGGAGAATTCTGACGCCATCATGCAGCGAAGTATCATGTAAGACCCCGCCCTGCCGTCTGACACTCTCCACGTTCTGCTTCTCTCTACATCTGTGCCTTTTCTCTTTTTTTTCCCCTAATGTTTTAAGATATGCTTTTTTGTGTTTGTTTTTGTTTTTTGGTGAGGAAGATTGGCCCTGCACTAACATCTGTTGCCAATCTTCCTCCTTTTTTTTTTTAACCCTCCCCAAAGCCCCAGTAGATAGCTGTATATCCTAGTTGTGGGTCATTCCACTTCTTCTATGTGGGACCCCACCGCAGCGTGGCTTGATGAACAGTTTGTAGATCTCTGCCCAGGATCTGAACTGGCAAACCCGGGGCTGCCGAAGCAGAGCAGGCGAACTTAGCCTCTCAGCCACGGGGCTGGCCCCCCTGTGCCTTTTCTTAGAAGAACTCAAGTTAGGCTTCAAGTTGGAACTTCCAGGGGTTGAGCAGTGCAGAGAATGGGGAGTGGGATGTGGAAGATGGGTGGTGTATTAACCAAAACGTTTTAGTTGCAAGTTCAGAACCCTAACCCAGTGGTTCTCAATCAGCAGCTGTTTTGGCCCCCAGGGAACTTCCGGCTGTGTCTGGAGACGTTTTTGGTTGTCACAACTAGGGGGAGGAGGGGCCTGCTGTTAGCATCCAGTGGGTAAAAGGCCAGGCATGCTGCTAAGCATCCAAGAGAGAGCACAGGACAGCCCCCCACGACAAAGAACCATCTGGCCTACGAATCAGCAGTGCCTAGCTTGAGAAACCCTCCACCGAGGCTTCAGGAAAAAGGAGGGAGAATGACTTGGCTTGCATAGTTGAAACCTTCTGGAGTTAATGGCCTCAGGCTTGGTTGGATCCACTTGCCAAAACTTTGTCACTGGGAATCTGTCTCCATCTCGGCACTCTGACAGGCTCTCTCCCTTGGGCTTGTGGCCCCTGGAGTTAGCAATCCCAGTGGAAGAGGGTGCCTCTCTCTGAGCCGTCCCAACAATATCTAGGGTCAAGTTTCATGGGCCCAGCTTGGGCCACATGCCTGTCCCTGAAGCAGCCACTGGAGCCACAGGCCTGCAGTGCTCTGATTGGCCAGGCTTGGGGCACGTGCCCACCCTTGTCACAAGTACGGAGGGAATTTGGAGGAAGGGACATCCCAGGAGGAAAGTGGAGGGCTGTTCCCAAGGAGGGAGCGGATTCTAGACTGACCCAGACAGGGACATCCACCACGGAGACCTGGGAGATGGTGGCTCAGGGATCCCAGGCTGTGTTTTCCTCCTGTGATGAGAAATCTGGGCTGGTAGCACTTTTGATAGCTCTGTCCCTTGCTTTGCTTTATTTTTTTATCTTTTAAATATTAAGGAAACTTTTTATTTTGGAATAATTTTTTCTTTTGAGGAAGATCAGCCCTGAGCTAACATCTGCTGCCAGTCCTCCCTTTTTTTTGCTGAGGAAGACTGGCCCTGAGCTAACATCCATGCCCATCTTCCTCTACTTTATATGTCGGACGCCTCCCACAGCGTGGCTTGCCAAGTGGTGCCATGTCCATACCCGGGATCCGAACCGGCGAACCCCAGGCTGCCAAAGCGGAACATGTGAACTTAACCGTTGCGCCACTGGGGTGGCCCCTGGAATAGTTTTAGAAGTACGAAAAAATTGTAAAGTTAGTACAGAGAGTCCCTGGATCCCCCTCACCCGGTTTCCGTGGTCCACCTCTCACATTCCTGCGGTCCCTTTGTCACAGTAAGGAACCAACGCTGGCACGTCGCTATTAACTAGACTTCACGCTTGGTTCAGATTTCACCAGTTTACCTGTTAATGTCCTCTTCTGTGTCAGGATCCAGTCCAGGATACATGTGGCCTGTAGTTGTGTCTCCTCTGGGTGACAGTTTCTCAGACGTTCTCTGCTTTTTTTTATGCCCTTGACAGTCTTGAGGAGTACTGGCCTGGGATCCTGGAGACCATCCCCTGGTTCATTGTGTCTGATGTTGTTCTCACGGTGGGAGTGGGGTGGCGGGAACGAGGTGATGGAGCCTCTCGCTGCCTTGTATCGGGGTGACGGCCCAGAACGGCACAGGCGATGCTGACGTCGCTCACTTGGTCAGGGGTGTGGCCAGGCCTGCGCACCCTCAGATTCCCATTTTTCCCGCTCAGTCCTCAGTTCCCTGGAAGCCAGCCACGGATCTAGCCAGTCTCAAGTGGAGCGAGGGCGCCTTGCGTTCTTTATCTTTCTCAGAGCACTTACTGCCTCCTGACGTTTTATATCCAGCTCTGTAGTATTTGGCTCCTCCACCAGAGTGTCGGCCCCTCGTGGGGGACTTTGTGTGTCTCGTCTCTGCCGAGTCCCTAGACCCACAGCAGGCCCTGGCACATAGTAAGGGCTTAGTTAATACTTGCTGAATGAAAGTTGGGATGTGTCATCTCTCTCAGGTGAGTCCTGGCAGAAAAATAAGCAGAGTGTTGCCTCCTCTGTCTGAGCCTTAGTTTCCTTATCGGCCAAGGGGGTTGTTTCAAATCCTCTGTTTCACGCTGGGATGGGAATGGGCGTCGGAGCTGTAGCATACAGCATGGAGCAGAGGGGTTATTGGTGCTGTCGTCATTCCTTTTTTCCCCCCTCCTCTGCTCCTCCAGGTCATTTTTCCACCCCAAGAAAGAGGGCAAAGCAAAGAAGCCAGAGAAGGAAGCGTCCAACGGCATCAGAGAGACGGAACCCCCTCCAAAGTACGTGATGGGCTAGGATGTGGTGAATTTGTTCCTTCATTACAGGACTCCCTTGGCGGCCCAGGTGTTGCAAACCTAGCTCAGAATGTCTCGGGGCCCCAAAGGGAAATTTTGACTCCAGTAACTGGGACGTCCAAAGGTAGTCCAGCTTCAGGCATAGCTGGATCCAGGGCCTCAGAGTTTGACATGTCTTGGCTTCATTCTGGAGCAGACTTTCTTCAGGAGACAGAGAAGCTGGCCACGGGCCGCATCTTGATGCCGGCTCATCTAAGTCAAAGTAAGCATTGTTCTCTCGTCCAGCATCCACATCACAAGTTCCCAGGAAGACCCTGCTTGGGTCACATGATCACTCTGGATTAGTCAGCTTGCCAGAGCCTGGACTTGACCTGGATTTAGTTCACATCCCCCATTTGGGACCCTGGGCAACTAACTTCACTTTCTGTGCCCCAGTTTCCTCATATATAACAGGGTGTCATAGTCTGTATCAGGTTTCTGTGTGGGTTCCATGAATTGACACATACACGACCTGGGGGACAGTGCCTGGAGCATAAAAGGCGCTCACTCTGTGCTAAGAATCAAGTTGAGATTTCCTTCAACACTCTTGATTTGCACGTCTGCCCCTTTTGTGTGTACATTGCTATGTGTACATGCGTGTGTAGTTTTATTTTCTGTGATATATTTTAATTTTTTTAAAAATACAGACCATGCCGTGTCTCTCACTCCTCAGCTTGCTTTCTTCAGCGCCGTTATTAGAGATTTTTTCCATTCACAGTCACAAGACTATCTGATCCCTTTTACCTTCTGCCTTGGTTCCATTTTAGATACATATTGGAGAAATTATTTAACATTTCCCTATGATGGATATTTAGGTTGCCTCCAAGTTGTGGCCGAAGCAATCTATGCTGCAATAAATTGTCCAAATATGTGTCTCCTTAGACACGTGTGCAGATATTTTTTTCTAGCATAGATACCCCTCTGTATAATTGTACGTGCTAATTGTTAATACGTTAACTCAGAATAGTAGGTAAAATAAAAATGTGAAGTCCTTCCAGTATTCACTCCCCAGAGCAACTACTTTTACCAGTTTGAAGTATATTCTTCCACACGTTTTCTCCTGTGTGTATAAACATACGTGCAACTAACCCGGTTATTGACACAGAATTGGTGCTCAATGAATGTTGGTTGAATGAATACGTGTTTCCCATCCTTACGTATTAGATAGCAGGTCCTCTTCATTTTGGACTCTATTCTATCTGAAGTAGCTGGCCTATGCCTGACATATAACATATACTCAATATCGCCCACCTTTACTTTTAAATAACAAAACCAGGATTGTTATATATGCCAGTTGCATATATACAGAGGCAAACATATTTTTTCCATTCATTGAGTCATGTGTACGTATTCATTTATTCAGCAGCTGTCTGGTGAGCATCCTCTGTACCGGGCACCGTTGTAGGCCTTGGGTTTTGCAGTGAACAGAATCAACAGCAACTCCTCTCCCAGAGCCGACAGCCTGCTGCGTTCTTCCCACAAGAAAAGTCTTAGAGCCCCCACGCTTTGTATAGACCCCTTTTCTTCTTTGTACCGATGTTGGGTCACAGGGATGCGCCTCCCTGACCTGATGAGGGCGTTGTTCCTATACCTGTCGGTCTCTCTGTCCCGACGCTGCCCTCTGAGGGTAGAAACCCGTGGACTCAGCCATGCTCTCAGCATCTTCAGCGACCTCCATCGGCACACACGCTGCGCTGGGCTTTGACGGTCTCTGGTCCTCTGAGACTGGGGGCTCCTCCTCAGAGCCACGTCAGGGGAGGCGTAGGGCTGCCTTAGCAGCAACCGAAGTCACAGTGACGTAGTTAACTAGGAGCTGCCTCTTTCTCATGGGATTCTGAGCTGTCGAGCCAGCGTCGGGCAGGTAGGAGGCTTGGTACCGCTGGGGTGTCCTGAGACCTGGGCTCCCCACCCCGCTTCCCACCCAGGCCCTGCCGTGCCCTCCCCTGCGTCATCAGAGTGGGGCAGCAAGTCTGAGTGACGGGTAAGACAGCATGAGGGCATCAACCCAAAGCAAGTTGCATGTGTCAGTCCTGGCCGCTCGCAGTCTATTGGTCATGTGACCACAGCTCACTGCAGGGGAGGCTGGGAAGTCCCCAGCCGAGGGCCATGTACCTAGTTAAAACTCAGGGGCTTGTAGGACTAAAAGAAAGAGGATCTTCAAATGGATATCGGAGTCCAGCTTCTGCCCTACGTGGGGCTTCCACTTGTTTCTCAGCATTGCCCTTTGCATGTGGGCACATTGGAGGCCTCCAGAGATGTGTGATGGATGGATGGATGATTAAGAGTATATGCCAAGGAGGACCTTAGAACATGTTCACTGACTGCTTTAAAGGAAAGGAAGAGAATGAAACAAGGAAGAAGCTGCAGTGTTGGGGGCAGTGTCCCTACTCTGCCTGCTGGAACACCCCCATTTCCCCACCTTCCAGGGTGGCGCTGAAGGAGCGGAATGGAGTGGTGCCCGAGGGCGACTCTCCAGTGAAGAGGCCAGGGAGGAAGGCAGCCCGGGTCCTGGGCAGCGAAGGGGAGGAGGAGGACGAGGCCCTCACGCCCCCCAAAGACCAGGTAGGTCCCTGTCAGCCTGCGCATTTTACCCAAAGAAAGCATCTTCCCGTTAACCTCTGGAACTGATGCAGCGGCTGCTCAGGAGAACGCTGGACATGTGCCCCAGGAGGCGGCGGAGGTCGGGGCTGTGCCCTGGGCCTGTGCATGGCCTGATCTGTGTGGTCCCAGCAGGTCTGGGGCAGGCCCCTGGGCCTCAGCTTCCTCCCGTCACATGCAGCTCCCAGCAGCACCTGCCTCACAGGGTGGCTGTTGCGATGAAGGGGTCAGTTCACACACAGATCTGAGAATAACGCCTGACGGGAAGGAAGGGCTCAAAAGTACTTCCAGCACCGGGGCTGCCCAGTGGCGTCGTGGTTGGGTTTGCGTTCTCCGCTTTGGCAGCCTGGAGTTTATGGGTTCAGATCCTGGGCATGGATCTACACACCATTCATCAGGTCATGCTGTGGCAGCACCCCACATACAAAATAGAGGAAGATTGGCACAGACGTTAGCTCAGCAACAATCTTCCTCAAGCGCAAAGAGGAAGATTGGCAATAAATGTTATCTCAGGGCCAATCTTCCTCACCAAAAAACAAACAAACAAAAAAACCACCATAGCAAACTTCCAGCCTCTCCTGTTGTCAGAGGGCCTTTCATCTTCTTCAAGCACACAGGTTCACTTCCTTTTATTTAAGAGTCATTTGGTGCCTGTCCATTGCTCTGTGGAGAACGTCCACAGGGCAGCCGCTCAGTCTATCAGGGGTGAAGTCAGATCCTGTCTCCCCCGCTGCGTTACAGCTCAGGCCAAAGCCGGTCCGTACTGGGACCCACGAGGCCCCTCGAGAGCCGCCCCTTCCTCCTCAGCTGCGCCTCCTCCCTGGCTGCCCCTGCCCCGGTGTCTCACACACACCAAGTGGGCCTCTTGCTCTTTCTCCTGCCTCAGCCTCTTTGCCCGGAGCGTGCTTACGGCCCGGTCCCTCACTTGCTTCAGGGCTTTGCCCGAAAGCCACCTCAGAGAGACCCCCCCTCACTGCTTGTGTTAGTTTCCCACTTGCTGCCTTAACGATTCGCCACAAACTTCGGGGCTTGAAACAGCAGAAGTTCCTTATCTTACAGTTCTGCAGACCAGAAGTCTGGCATGCGTCTCCCGGGGCCAAATCAGAGTGTGGGCTGCGTTCCTTCTGGAGGCTCCAGGGGAGAATCCATTTCCCTGCCTTTTCCAGCCTCCAGACACCACCTTTTCTCCACTTTCAGAGAGGCACTGCTGTGCCCTTCTCACTCTCTGCCTCCCTCTTCCACGTCTAAGGGCCCTGTGAGCGCCCTGGGCCCACGTGGGTGAGCCAGGCTAACCACCTGTCTGAAGGGCGGCTGGTGAGCGACCTTAATTCCCCTGCAGCTGTAATTGCCCTTTGCTGTGTCACGAACGTAGTCCCGGGGGCCAGGGACTAGGACAGGGGGGGCTTCAGGAGCTGGGACTCCGCCCCGAGGCTGCTAGGGAGCCATGGGAGGGTTTGAGCAGGAGGGAGACAGAGGTAGCTTTGGGTCCTGAGCGGCCTTCGGAACATCCCTCTGGGGCCTGTACCCATCAGGGTTCACGCAGGAGATGGAAACCACGCAAGCGATCTGAACAGAGGGGATTTATATGGAGCTGTCAGCTGGGCCTGCAGCTCGTAACTAGGTAACTGAAGGGATCAAGAGAGAGCTCTCACCCCAGGGCTGTGGAGCTGAAATTCAGACCGTGGTGAGATGCTGGCTGGTGGGTGCTGGGGTCTCTGAGCTTGGAAGTACATAGGACTCAGGTCTTTGAGGAGTGGGCGCTGGGCCGAGGGTGCTGCTGGTGCTGGGGTCTCTGATGGCGCACCACCTAGCACCCTGCGAGTACTGGAAATACCGTCAATTGGTTCCAGCTCGCGCAGGCCCTCCAGCGCCCCGTGTTGGCGCTGCCTGACACAGAGCTGGCTGCCGGAGCGGGAGAGGGGTCTGCAGGGTCCCGGCGTCACAAGAGACCGTGGGCAGGCTGGGCTTGGAGCCGAGGGGCAATGGCTTAATGACCGGCACAGGGCCTATAAGAAGGTGAGTTAGCGCTTGGAACCAAGACACAAATAACAGTGGCTTACGCGAGGTGGGAATTTATTTCTCTCTAATAAGCAAAACAGTCCAGGATTAGTGTGGTCGTCTCACAGCGTCAGAGAGCCAGGTGCTTCTAGACTGTTCCTTGCTGTTCCTGGATGCCCTTGTCCCAGATGCCAGTGGGAAGAGGAGGGACTCTACTTGCCTTTGAGTGTTAGTAACCGAGGGAAGCGGGTGTTGTTTCCCCTTACGTGGTCTCGTGGGGAACTGAGGCTGACGGCCACGCCAGCTGCAAGGGAGGCTGGGAAGTGTCCTCTTTAGTTGGGCCATGATCTGCCTAGCGAAAAATGAAAGATTCCGTTACTTTAGAAAAAAGAGAGTTGTTATTGGTGTCTGTAATGGGGAGACTCTGGGACCGTGAAACTACTCCGGAGGTGGGGGGATGGCCCAGGTGGGAGAGGATGAGGCCCGCGCTGGGGGAGTCTCTCCTTATTCCCAGCTGTGGGGGAAAGGGGATAGCTGACTGCTCCCTCTGTCCTCCCCTCCCTCCATGATTTCTCTCTCCTCCCCCTTCCAGAAGCCTGCCCCGGACTCTCCGAAAGTCTCCCCTCCCAGTCCTGAGAGCACCCCTGCCCTCTGCAGCGCCTCTCCTGCGCGCGTCTCCCCGTCAGGGATCCCGAAGCGCCGCACAGGTGAGGACCCACAGGCCCCTGCCCTTCCAGTGCCCGTCTGTGTCCATGCTTGGATTTCTGCATCACTCAGCCATCCTTGTGACAGCTCGCATCTCAGCACTGTGATCAAGAGCGTGGCTCCACCATCCACTGGCTGTGTAACCTCGGGCAGATGATCTACCTTCTCTGAGCTTTGGTCTCCCTCTGCAAACAGAGATGATGATAATTACAGTACTTACGGCACAGAGATGTGGGAAGGATGCAAAGCGAATACGTGTAAAGTGCTTGGAACGGGGCCCAGCCCATAGTAAGGGCTCTGTACGTGTTGGTTATTGTAACTGGTTGTGTGCAGTCATGGAGGCAGCCTGGCTCTCTGTGGGGGCGTGGGAGAGGGGCCACTGGTCAAGGAGACTTCTAGAAGGGAGGTTAACGAAGCTGAGCCCTGAAGGGCAGGGAAGGGCGAGCAGAGAATGAGGAGAGAAGGGAGCTCCAGGCAGGGGGAGAGGAAGAGCGGAGGAGGCCCTTCGGAGCTGCTAATGGCGTGGTGTGCTGGTGCTTAGAGCCAAGGGCTGGCGACAAGAATCGATCAGACTGGAGAAGGTCGGGGAAGCCAGCCTGAGGAGCGGCACCTCTGTCCCCAGGGGGGTTGGCAAGGGTTTGTGCAGGAGAGGGCCAGGTCAGAGAGACCCACACGTAACGCAGGGTGATGGGGCCTGCCGAGCGCCTGAAACATGGCAGATGTGACAGGAACTGAATTTTTAATGTTATATCATCGTATTTAAATGTAAATTCGAAAGCTGATGCTCCTTGTATATTTGGAACAACTTAGATATGTGAATCGACTTTCAGCGGTAGATCCTATGAAATCTAAACAGATCGAGGACTTCTGATGAACATTTAGCACACAACTGAGATGTGTTGGAAGTGCCTTGGATTTTGAAGACTTAGTGTGGAAAAAAGAATGTTAATGATTTATTTTAATAATGAAAACATGTTGGCGTCAGACAAGTTTGGATATTTTGGGTCCAGTAAACTATATATTAACACTAAGTTCACTCCTTTTTTCCCTTTTCTCAGTGTAGCTACTAGAAAGGTTAAGATTACATGTGTGGCTCACCGTAAACAGGTTTCCCTACTATCTGAAAATAGAGCGTTCCTAGGAACCCTAAAAATAACCTAGCAAATCATACCAAATAACCTAGATAGTGTAGACCTAGAGAGCGCTAACGGATAGTAAAAGTGGAGTGGTGTTATAAATACACGACCCATAGAAAGTAGAAATAATGTGTGTGCCCTGTAGTTTCACTCAGCAGAGTCAGGAAGACGGCGAGCACACGGGAAGGCTGAGGGGTGCTGGTGATGATGGGGTGTTAGTTAAGTGAGTTTTTGGATGGGCCAGCCCGGTGGTATGGCAGTTAAGTTTGTGCGCTCTGCTTCGGCGGCCTGGGGTTCACAGATTCGGATCCCAGGCATGGACCTAGCATTGCTCATCATGCCACACTGTGGCGGCATCCCACATAAAATAGAGAAAGATGGGCACAGATGTTAGCTCAGCAACAATCTTCCTCAGCAAAAAGAGAAATATTGGCAACAGATGTTAGCTCAGGGCCAATCTTCCTCACCAAAAGAAAAAGAAAGTAAGAAAAAGTGAGTTGTTGGAGGTTGGGGTGGCAGGAGGTACAGGAGACGGGTGTAGGAGAGAGAGGCAGAGGGTCGTCTGTTAACATCTCATCATCGTCTGAATCCATCAGGGCAGGCAGGTCACTAACATCTTCGCCTTCTTCTCTGCCTCCCTCCATGTGGAAGGTTGAGGTTCATCGTGTCAGTGGCTGATGGAGGGCTTGAAATACGACAGTGTGGGTGACTGCTTAGCTTCTGTAATGGCTCCCTGCAAAACCGACGCTGAACACTATTTTCGCTTTTTTTGTAAAAGCAGAAGTCCTTGGATTTCTTTCCTTTAGTGAATGTAGGTCTTTGGTAAAAGCGAAGCCGTGTACAGTGAACTTTTGGATAGCGGGGGAAACCTGTGTTTCCGTTGGCTGGTGCTGGTGTAAGAAATAACAGAGGTAACAGGGTGCTGTGGGGGCTCAGAGTTGAGCCAGCCCGGGGGAGGTGCCGTTGCAGCCGAGTCGTGGGAGTGGGTCCGGGTTGGCTGTGTTGAGACAGGGCGGGTGGGAGGTGTTGCAGCCGAGAACAGCATGTGCAAAGGCCTCGAGGTGGGAGCAGCCTGGCAGGTGTGGGGAATCCCGAAAACTTCAGTGTTTCTGGATGATAAAATGCGATTTGAGGAGTAGGGAGAGTTTGAGGATAGTGCATGGTGAGAGAGGAGCTAGAGGGGAGAGTGGGGGCTGCCTCCCAAAGGGCCGTGCAGGCTAGATGAAGAGTTGAGGTTTTGCCGTGGGGAATCGTGGGGGGCTGTGCACTGGAAGGGACGGCTCAGTCCTGCAGGAGAGGTGGTCACGATGAAATAACCGAGTGGCTGGCCGCTCGGGGCTGACACCAAGATTGGCCCTGGAGGTGTGTCAGGGGATCCTTCTTAGAGGAAGTGACATCTGAGCTATATCCCAAAGGGCCGCTACACAGCATGTGCAGAGGCCCAGAGGTGTGACACAGTTTGGTGTGTGGAAACGACAGCGATTCAGTACTGTTGGAGAATAAACTTGGTTATGTGGCTTGGGAAGAGTTAGAATTAGAAGGTCTGGTGGAGAGAGATCAGGTAGGACAGGGTAGGTATCAAATGGCCTTATCCTGGCGTGGGGCCTGGGGAAATGGGGGAGGCCTCTGAGCAGGGGAGGGACAGTGCCAGCCACGGCTGGTAGAAGATCCTCGGGGCCGGGAGCCCAGGGAGAAGGTGAGAGATGACGATGGTGGAAGTGGTCACAGCTGCCTCTTAGTGAATTCCTCGCCGTGTGTTCGTTTCTCAGTTTGGAGTCTTCTAGAAGCAGGCTCTGAAGTTCTGAAATAAGGATTCAAGTGCAAGTTGCTTCTTCAGGGGGCGCAGAGAACACAGACAGTGCTCGGGGAAGGGCAGGCAGCCGGTGATAGGTGTGTTGTCAGGCCAGCCACGGCAGGGGCAGCTGGAGCCTAATTCTCTGAGGAAGCCCTGGGAATCAGCGTAAGAGTGTGCCTCAGAATTATCGATCTGAGATGCGAGGAGAGGGGCGTCTGTGCATCAGCTCCCAGCAGTCACTGGGTGAGGCTACTCCCCGGGCCTGTTGACCTAGAAAAGCTGGGACACACGTTGATGGTGAGATCTTAGGGATGTAGGCCAGGCACTGAAAGCATCTGCTAGACTCGGGTCCTGGATGGAGCACGTTTCATCGTAGCTTACTTTCGGGGATTGTTTCCATTCTGCTGATGTGGGAGAGCGAGGCACAGAGAGATTAAGTAACCTGCCCAAGGTCACACAGCTGAGAGAAAGCAGAGCTTGAAGGATGAGGCCTGCCTTGGGGTGGAAGGGGAGGGGGCCCAGAGCCTTCTCAGAGGCCCCGTCATTGGTGGGCCTGAGCTTGCCGAGGTGGGGGCAGGAGGGCCAGCCAGTCAGCCACACCAAGCCCTTTGCCTTCCCAGCTCGGAAGCAGCTTCCTAAACGGGCGATTCAGGATGTCCTGGAAGATCAGAGCGAGGACGAGGACAGGGAAGCCAAGAGGAAGAAGGAGGAAGACGGTGAGGCACCAGGACGAGAGCTGTGTGTGCATTGTGTGCACGTGTGTGTGTGCGCGCGAGTGTGCATGTGTGTGTTGGGGGAGGGGGGCGTCTGGAAGTGTGGGGGCCTGTCTGAGAGGACAGGAGGTTAGGACTCCACTGATGGATGCCTGTGTCCGGGAATCCGGACGTGGCCGTCAGAATCCCCCGCACCGACACAGGAATTTTTGTATGCAAGCGTTTGGGAATGCATTTTCTTAGCCATCTTGATTCAGCCATCATAATTCATATGTAGTTTCCAAAGTTTATCTTCTATTTTTATGTTTATTTTATGGAAAGTATTCTCCTCTAGATGGTTTCTTTTTCCTTATCCATTTTCCCAGAAAGCAGAGGTTCCCAAACTTTCACAGCATCCTTAGCATCCTAGTAATTTTTCCTGGCACCCCAGGCCGATACTGCAAGAGTTCTGTTTAAGTAATTATATTATGTCCGAACAACTGTTCATGTTCCAGCAACTTGGGTGTTTTGAGAAAACTATACTCATACACTCAAGGAAAAATAATATTCTTTTTCTTCAATAATCACAATTACTTCCTAGTAGGATGTCTCCTGGGCACTGCTCACTGTCTCAGACTTGGGAATCCGGGTGAAGACTGCCACCCCATTTCCTGTTCCACGTTGATTTATGGGCAGTACTTGGTTCTTAGCACAGGCCACCACAGAAAACCCAGCTTTGCAGGAATATGGTGTTGGGGATTGCAAGGAGTAGGATCTAATACTGAAAACTAAGACCTTGAGCTGGGAGTTCATACAGTGTCCAACAGATGTCCCCAGTTTCCCTTGAGGAGTGTGAAAGATCCTGCTGGTCCCTGGGAATTCCCCTCTTGGTGCACGCATGCTCCAGCCCATTGATCGCTGGGGGCCAGTATGAGGTCCGAGCCGTTGCCACTGCCCATTTGCTTAATGAAAAGTCCTCCTTAGGCTCAGTTTTCCCAGGGCAGATTTGAATTTGGTCGACATGTGATTTCCCATTGGTGGTTTTTAGTCAGTAACAAATTTTGCTGTGAACCCTGCCGTTTTAGCCATTGTCGGGGTCTGGGGGCCTGGAGGCCTGGGGATGGGTGGCTTCTTTCCAAGGCAAATTTTCCCCAAGTAGTTTATGCAGTTTTTGTTGTTACCCTAGAGGTATGATATTTTTCAGTTACTTAAAAAATTTTTTTTATTTTGATCTATAACAAGTTATTTGCATTTCGAACCCTTTCTGATTCTGTTTTGCGATGAATAATTCTAAAATCATAGTTCGCAAGAAAAGACAGGCCGTTTGTGTCTATTTCTCAGCTGCACTGGTGAGCGATGGGGTTGGACTTCCTCAGAGGTCCCCGCCCTGCTTGGGGTTGGCCAGGAGCGTGTTCTCACACCTCCCATCACCTTGCAGACACATGTGATTGGCACAGGAAAGAGCACATGGGGGCGGGATGTCTTGGGAGTTGAGATGTCCCTGGGAGCCATCTGACTTTTCTGTCTGTCATCAGAAGCAGAGACCCCGACAGAAAGCCTCACAGAGCCTGAAGTGGCCAAAAGGAAGGAAGTAGAAGAGAAGGACCGGCCCATGACGCCCCCAGAGCTCCCAGAGAACTCCAGTGAGTTCCTGATCCTCTTCCTCTCTGCAGCCCCATCTCCTTGGGTTTGGCTTCAGACATCATTGGAGGACAGTTACTAAGATACAGGTTCTCAAATGTGTTGTTTAAATGTGAATTCTGGAGGAATCACAGGTTATATTATTATTATTTTTTTCTTTTTTTTGCTGAGGAAGATTTGCCCTGAGCTAACATTTGTTGCCAGTCTTCCTCTTTTTGTACGTGAGCCGCCAGCACAGCATGGCCACTGACAGACGAGCAGTGTAGGTCTGCACCCAGAAACCGAACCCTAGCTGCAGAAGCGGAGCACGCCGAATTTAACCACTAGGCCTCTGGGGCTGGCCCTATTACTATTGTTTTTATTGTTAATATTTTCCTCCATCCAAGTGGGGAAAAAAAGAAAGAGCCAGTCATCTTCCAACAAAATGTTTTTATCTTTCAGAAATCACAGGTCGTAAGTGTTATTAACTGAGCAGTAATTTAGTAGGTTAGACGGCCAGGCTGAGTTAGGGGCTTTTCGAGGTAAAGGGACCTTCCCAGGCCACAGAACAGCGCCTGCAGTCGGGTGTCCGTGAGACTCCTCTGTCGTGAACAGCACTGTGGGGGCATTTTTAGGATACCGACCCGTATTTGATTTTCCGCCGCTGCAGGAGAAATGGGAACATTTTCTTCTAATCGTGCTGAGATTTCTTCTTACCACTATTTATTTGTGAGTCTCCAATTTCAGGCCAAATGCTGGAATTCCATTAGTCACTACTGATGAAAAAGCATTAGGCCTGAGAGGCTCAAAACTTACAGAAAGGAACAGGGCGGAATTGGTTCTGTTTTCCATCTATAGGGTCAAAATGACCTGGGGGTTGAAAATAAAGTCTCAGGGTCGAAAGCATTTGTGCACCATCTGATGTCTCTGCTTAAAAGCAGAGCCCCCGACGGACAGCGTTGCCGAGCCTGAGGGGGCCGTGAAGCAGGAGCCGCAGGAGGACCAGCCTCAGCCTCCTCCCAGAGCCCCCAAGACGCTCAGCAGCTTCTTCGGTGAGTTTCTGCTCGCCCCGCTCCCCAGGGCCGTGCAGGGCAAGGTGAGTGGGTCTTTCTGCAGAGAGCGCTAAGTCCCCGGGGCACGGGTTAGAAGGTCTGACCCCTCTCTCCCGGCTCATCGCCCCTCTCCCCGAGCATCCGGGCTGTGCTGGGGGGAGAGCGGGAGGCAGAGGGCGATCGTCAGGAGGAGAAAAGACCCACAACTTCCTGGCTTCATTCGCAGCCCCCCGGAAGCCTGCAGTCAAAAAAGAAGTGAAAGAAGAGGAGGGGTCCGGCGCCCCGAGAAAGGAGGAGACCAAGGGGTGAGTCAGTGTTTGCTGTCGAGTAGAGAGGAAGGACAGTGGATTGAAAAAGAATGATGCAGTGAGTCCAAAATCTCTTTGATTTTTTTTTTTTAGCCCTCCAAAAATGAGACAGATAATCACGAAAAATTCTTCCAGCTTTCAAATTCTGTGATTAAGGTTTAATTATTCGAATGAAAATGTTTTGGGGATTCTTAACGTCAATTCTGTACCCCAGTTGAGACCTTATTAGTGAGGTTAAATGGCACCGTTCTGCCGTGTGCCTGTGCTGTAGGAACAGTGAGCTCCTTTCCGTGGACACCTGCCGTGTGTTGGATATGGTGCTGTGGGTTCCTTCTATGCTGTCTTACCTCGTCCCTGCCGTAGTCCCGTGGAGAAAGCAGGTATTTTAGCATTTCACAGACATTGGAACAGTCAGCCCAGAGAGGTTAGGTCAGCTGCCCCCAGTCACACAGGGAGGCAGGGGGACGGTCAGACTTGGGACCCAAGTTCCTCTGATTCCTAAGCCTGTGCTCTTTCTTCAGCACTGCACCGTCTTGCCTCCTGGGTATGTGTCTGTGCTTATGTATTTATAAATAAGTTTCTCTAACAAATCTGTCTCCTACTGTGTGTACCTAAAGTTTCATGTCTTGCCTTTTATTTCATGTGATACTATGACCAACTTTTTTTTTTTTTTCTGAAGGAGATTGGCCCTGAACTAACATTTGTTGCCAATCTTCCTCTTTTTGCTGAGGAAGGTTTGCCCTGAGCTAACTTCTGTGCCCATCTTCCTCTATTATTTTGTGTGTGGGTCTCTGCCACAGCATGGCTGCTGACGAGCGGTGTAGGTTTGCAACCGGGAACTAAACCTGGGCTGCCGAAGTGGAGTGTGCCAGATTTTATTGCTAGGCCACAGGGCTGTCCCCGTGACCGTTTTTCTTACACTATTCCCAGCCTGATCACTCGTCCCTCTCTGATGGCTGCTTCCTGGAGACACGCAACCCTTCAGGGCCTCCCGTTTGCTCACCTTTAAAATGGGGACCTAGTGATGACAGACAGCACCCACTTTCACCCACTCTTAACTGTGTGCCAGGCACCAAGCAGTGTGCCTTCTGTATCCTCAGGCGTTGGATCCTCACGGCCCCCTGTGCGTAGATCCTGCTGGTACCCCCATTTCACAGATGAGAAGAGTGAGGCCTGGAGGCAGGACCGTATTGTGGGGTGGTCAGAGATCCCGGCTGCCACCACGTGACCTCGGGGAAGCCCCTCAGCCTTAACGCCAGTTTCCTCCTGAGGGTCTGACGCATTAAGACCAAGGTCTGGCCTTGGCCAAGCCCTGCAGCTTGCACTCGATACTATTATCATCATTTGATTTCAGTGCCTTGCCTAGGTCACACATGGGGAGTGTGGCAGAGTTGGGCTTCAAGCCAGGCAGTCCGGCCCTCAAACTTCTCATGCTCCACGCTCTGCTTCCTCTTTTGATAATGATAGAAACAACTTTATTAAGCTTCTCGTTAAGCGCTGAGCCCATGCAGCTCAGCGTGCACGGCCCCAGCACACACTTCGTCCCGCTCGGCCACCCACAGCCGTGCCCATGCGTCAGAATCAGCTGAAGCGCTGAAAAAAGTCCGGAGGCTTCTCCCCCGGCCGCAGGCCCCCTGGTTTTGGTACAGATACAGGCCTGACCTGGAGAGTCGGTGTTTGATAAATGCTCCCCACAAAGTGTGCCGAGGAGCGGGAGCCTTCCCCATGATTTCTTACTCAGCCCTCCACACAGCATGTTGCTGTCGGACTCCTGGCAGCTCCACTGGACAGAGGGACACGCTGTTCAGAGAGGAGAAGCCACTTCCTCAGGGTGGCACAGCTGGGCAGGGGTGGAGCAGGGCTTTGCACCAGATGGGTGACTGCAGAGTCTGGACTGTGGTGGCTCTAACAGGGTCAGGGTGCACCATTTCCAGAGGCCTTTATGATGGGGAGCGTTAGAACGCTCTGGAGCCCTGCTTCTTACTAGCTGTGTGACCATGGGCGAGATTCTTAACCTCTCTGTGCCCCAGTTTCCTTATCTGCAAAACACGGTTACAAGAGTCCCTTCCTGTAGGGCTGATTGCTAACTGATGCAGTGCTTGTAGCACAGTGCCTGGCACTTGGTGGCACCCAGCCGCTGTACCCTCCTCCTGCTGCTACACCCAAATGAGTGTGGGAGGGCTTGGCTGAGTGGCCCACAGGGGTCTTTGGCTCTTAGAGTGGACTCTAAAAACCAGTCAGAGCATGCTGCTTCACTCCAGCTGCGCTGACCCCTTCTCTGTTCCTCAGATGTGTCAAGTGTGTCTCTACTTCACTTGCTGTTCCCCCTGCCTGGAATGCTCTTCATTCTGATACCCACTCTGCTCACCCCCTACCTCGTTCTGCCCAAAGGCTCCCCTTAGGCCTTCCCCAACCATCCTCTGAAGGAGCACATCCTCTCCTGCCTTTTCCCTCTACTTGGTTTCATTTTCTTTTCCAAAAATATTTTTTTTTTTTTGAGGAAGATTAGCCCTGAGCTAACATCTGCTGCCAATCCTCCTCTTTTTGCTGAGGAAGACTGGCCCTGAGCTAACATCTGTGCCCATCTTCCTCTGCGTTATATGTGGGACACCTACCACAGCATGGCTTTTGCCAAGCAGTGCCATGTCCACACCCGGGATCCGAACCGGTGAACCCCTGGCCGCCGAGAAGTGGAACGTGCGCACTTAACCATGGTGCCACCGGGCTGGCCCCCAAAATATTTTTTAATATCTAAAATTATTTATTTGTTTATATGTTGGGTTTTTTTTGACTCTCCCCCTAGACTGTGAGCTCCAGGTTAGTAAACTTGGTTTTCACTCCCTTCTGTGCCCGTGGGCCTAGGACAGTGCCTGGCGCACAGGAGGCGCTCAGTAAATTGGAGGAATGACTTCTCCTTGACCCAGGCATCTACCCGGTCTCACCTCCCTTCGCCCCAACAGACCCCTGGACCCTCCCAGCTACAATCCTGCCAAGAACAACTACCATCCCGTCGAAGACGCCTGCTGGAAGCCGGGCCAGAAGTGAGCTTCTCCCCCGGGATGGTCTCACTCCAGTCCCTGTCCCGGGGAGGCCCTCTGACCGAGGCCTCAATCGAGGACACTGTCGCGTCTCTCCTTCTGTGTGTTGGGGACGCCATTGGCAGTGTGGAAGGGGACAGGGAGAAAGCCCCTGGAGGCGGGCAGGGTCGTGTGCATGCATTTGGGCCTTAGCAGGGCTGGCCCCAGGAGGGTGTGGAGAGGCAGGGGGATGGAGGGACCGCCTGGGATGCACACACTGCCCTCCTGTCTCTTTCCCTTCCCCAGGGTCCCTTATCTGGCGGTGGCCCGGACGTTTGAGAAGATCGAGGAGGTTTCTGCGCGGTAGGTGATGAGGCTGGCTGGGCGGAGCAGGGGCAGGCGGGGCGGGTGCCCTTCCACTCTGTCCCTTGCTCAGCGGTCGCTGTGCCCCAGCCTGCCTGATCCTTTCCGCCTCTCCTCTTTCGCCTCAGCCTCATGCTCGTGGTCATGGACTGTGGGCGTGGCCATGAGAGGGGCTGCCGGTCCTCGCGAGGCCTGGACGGCCCACACCGTCCTTTCTGCCTCGTTCTTTTGGTCAGAGAGGACGAGTTGGGTGGGTGCTGGGCAGCCCAGATTCCTGGGTCGGAGAACAGCCTCCACCTGGTGGCAGGGCCCTAATCAACCCTCAGTCATCAGAAGCAACCACACCTTGCCGACGTTCCCCAGTGTCCCTGAGAGGAAATCCGGGTCTGGTTCCGGTGAGAGCCGCTCTGCTCTTGTCTCAGCACTTTCCCCTCGGGGCCCTGCAGTCCCGCCTGCTCTAGGCTGCCCTGGCTCAAGGCTGTGAGGACCGGTCCTGCCCTTGCTGCCCCATCCCCACTCTGTTCCATCCTCCCCAGCCCAGCGCCCGCCCCCCCGGGGTGTAGTTTATGTCAGCATTGTTGCGGGGCCCACCTCGTCCTGCCTCCTGCTTCCCCCATCATGCTGTTTCCAGGAGGTCTCTCCATCGTGTGGGTTTCAGCAGATCTCAGCTGGTTTCCCCTGTTCCAGAGTGTTCCTTCACGTTCATGCATCGCGTCACTTTCAGTTGCCCAATGTCGGTGGAGCGTTTAGGCTCTAACCAACACTTTCTTCTTATAAACGTGTGTCTTTGTGAACAGGGGAAGAACCTCCCCTGGGGTGTAGACCCCACCATGGAATCGCAGGTCACAGAGGGCACAGGAAGGGCCTTGAATGCCAGGCCGAGGGGCTTGGAGGCCAGCCAGTGGGCAGCTGCAGATGAGGACTGGGTTAGCCAAAGCCCTGCCATGGGGGCAGACAGGTCTGAGAGTGGGATGGGCCCAGCTCTGCTGTGTCCTGGCTGTGTGACTGTGGGCAGGTGGCCTGACCTCTCTGAACTTCTGTCTCTCATGAGTAAAGTGAAGGTCACACATCTCAAGTTTGGAGTGAGAACAGTGAGATGAAAAAGTAACACACAGGGGCCGGCCTGGTGGCGCAGCAGTTAAGTTTGCATGTTCTGCTTCGACGGCCCGGGGTTCCCTGGTTCGGATCCCAGGTGTAGACATGGTATCACTTGGCAAGCCATGCTGTGTCAGGCATCCCACATATAAAGTAGAGAAAGATGGGCACGGATATTAGCTCAGGGCCAGTCTTCCTCAGCAAAAAGAGGAGGATTGGCGGCATATATTAGCCCAGAGCTAATCTTCCTCAAAAAAACCCAAAAAAACAAAAAAAACACAGCGTGGTGTTTAGTTTCAGCAGAAACTGTCAGAAATCACTTAATTCAAGAGAACTGCAGGTGACTCTCCAAACCACATAATCTAAAATCAGAGGGTTTTATAATTTTTGAAAATTTTTTGGAAATCATGTTAGACTTAGAGAAAAATTGCAGAAATGGTACAGAGAGTCCCCGTATACCCGTGACCAGCTTCCCCTGGTGTTAACTTCTTACAGCAGCACAGGCTGGGCACCAAACCAGGACGCTGACAGTCGCGCGCTCTCAGGTGATCTGCAGGCTCCATCTGCATTTTGCCAGTTTTCCCGTTTGCATCCTTTCCGCTGGGCCAAGATCCATCCAGCATCCCCCACCCGCACGTTTGGTCATCTGTCTCCTTCGTCTCCTTCATCTCAGACACGTCCCCCGTCTGTCTCGGTCCTTCGTCACCTCCACGCTGTTGGAGAGTCTGGCAATCTTGTAGAGTGTCTCTGAGCCTGGGTCTGTCTCATGCTTCCTCGGGAATTGATTCGGGTGCTGTGTCTTCCGTCAGGAGGGGCACACAGGTGACGCTCACTCTCTGTCTCCTGCGGGGGCACGTGCTGCCTCCGCTCTCATTCCTGGTTACGTGGCTGCAGGGTGGTCTACCAGGCGTCTCCACTGTGTGGTTGCTATTTTTCCCTTTCCAATTAATAGGCGCCTTGTGGGGATTCTCTCTGAGTCTCTGCAAGGCCCTTATTTCTCCTCAGACTTTGGCCCACTGATTTTAGCATCTGTGTTAGTATCCTGGGGCTGCTGGAACAAAGAACTGTAGAGTCAGTGGCTGAAAACAGCAGTTTTGCTCTTACGTTTCAGGTGGCCAGAAAGTCCAATATCAAGATGCGGGCAGGGTTGGTTCCTTCTCGAGGCTCTGAGGGAAGGTCTGGCCCTTGCCTCTCTCCTGGCTTCTGTTGGGTGCCAGCAATCCTTGGCTTGTGGACATATCACTCCAATCTCTGCTTCCATATTCACATTGCCACCTTCTCTGTGTCTCTCTCTGTGTTTTTTTGGTACAGTCATGCATCACATAACAACGTTTCGGTCAACAACAGACTACATGTAGGATGGTGGTCCCATAAGATTAGCTCCATGTAGCCGAGGTTTGTGTAAATACTCCCTATGCTATTTGCACAGCGACAAACTTGCCTAATGATGCGTTTCTCGGAATGTATCCCCATTGTTAATCCAGCCACAACTGTATTTTATAAGGACACTCTTACTGTTTTTAGGACTTCCCTAATCTAACATGATCTTATTTTGGTCCTTACCTTAATTATACCTGCTAAGACCCTATTTACAAAGAAGCCCACGTTCTGAGGCTCTGGGTGGACCTGCATTTTGGGGAGATGCAATCCACATACGATAGCACCCAGTGTGGGTTTCCCTGTAACAGTTAAGCCTGTGGTGTCTGCCCGGGGTGGTTTAGTGTTTGTCTCATTTCTTCTCCGTTTGTTAATTGGGCCTCTTCTATAAGAAAGACATAGCTTCTCTTTTCATTTAGGCCCTCTGCATCTGAGTGTGTCAACAACAAACCCAGACGTTTTCACCGTTTCTACAACACAGACAGAAACGTTATCTTACTTTCAGAGGCAGCCCAGCTTGGTGGCTGGGGGCCCGGGTCCTTGAGCAGACGGCCTTGGTTCCCATCTCAGCTTGACACTTCCTAGCTCTGCAATCTTGGGGAAGTTATATAACCTTTCTGTGCCTCAGTTTCTTGCTCTGTAAAATAGGAATAGTATTAGTGTCTAGCTTGGAGGGGAGCCATGAGAATTCAGTGAGTTAAAACACACAGAGTGTCTAAAATCAGCGCCAGGCGCCTCGAAGATGCTACATACGTGTTAGCTACCACTTCTTTGTGGAGGGTCATCTCCGTTTTCACTGTTACTGTCAAGCCGAGTTGCTCTTCCACTGACAGTCCATGAATGTGCCTGTGGCTCAGGTCACACGCCTGGGCCTGGACTTGAGCTGTTTCCTCTTCTTCTTTCTTGGGTTGCCTTCATCCCCCTCCCCCCGACTTCGACTCTGAAATACCAGGTGGTCCCACCCCTTGCCCTCCTCCAGGCTCCGGATGGTGGAGACGCTGAGCAACTTGCTGCGCTCCGTGGTGGCCCTGTCACCCCCAGACCTGCTCCCCATCCTCTACCTCAGCCTCAACCGCCTTGGGCCGCCCCAGCAGGGCCTGGAGCTTGGCATCGGGGACGGCATCCTTCTCAAGGCCGTGGCCCAGGCCACAGGTAAGGGGCTGTGGCGGGAGTTCCAACAGGAGAGGAGAAAGTGGAGGGGTGGGGAGGACCTGAGAGAGGATGGAGAGGGCTCTGAATGGGGAGAGTGGGGGAGAGAGGCCGACAGGGCGAGAGCCTAAGGGGCAGATTGGCAGGGGGTAAGGGGGCAGTGGTTCAGGGGAGGGAGGCCCGGGCCTGCGGTGGGATGGAGAGGAGGGGCTGGGGAAAGATGCCACAGGCAAAGGAGCGGGATTTGGGGGCTGGGATTGAGGGTTGGGCATAGCAGGGGTCCTGACGGACTTCAACCAGTAGACCAGGAGGGGACATGAAGAAAGAACAGAATGTGGGGAGGTCCAGCGACCTGCAGGAGCCGAATCCCAGTGCTTTTGGAGAGGCCGGTGGTGTGGGCGGGGCCGGCCTGCCACAGCCTTGAGTACTTGATGTTTATCGTGAGGGTGTTGGGAGCCATGGAAGAATTGTGAGCAGGCGAGGGGCAGGGGCAGTTCTGGACCCATGTGGAAGACAGACGGGAAACCAGGAGGCTGGGGCAAAAGTCGAGGGGCAGGAGGAGCTGGGGCCAGGGCTGTAGAGGGCAGAGGAGAGGGCAGGAGCCCCGAGAGACGGGGGGCAGGAGGGACCTGCTGGGTTTGGGGTTAGCGGGACAGACGAGGTGCAAAGAATGCCCTGGGATCTCACTCGGTGACTCAGTGGATGATGGAGCCATCACCAGGACACGACCCTGGGGAGGGGCAGGCACATTCAGGGGAAGTTTATCCTTTCAGCTTGGGACCAGGTGTGAGCAGCCTGTATCTGTGGGCCATCCAGGAAATTGGGAAATACGAGGGTCTGAAGCTTGGTGGATCTGGATCAGAGGCCGAGACCTGGGAACCTCAGCTGAGGAGGGGTGATAGACGCACTCGCGAGCTCTCATTGGCCCAGAGAGGGTGGTCAGGGAGGATGGGGGTGCTCAGGGTGGAACCTGGGGAACACCAGCATTTAAGGAAGTGGGGGTTCGAGGGTTTTATGAATGGACAGAGTGACTGAGAAAGATTGGCTGGGGGACAGAAAAGAGTTGTGGGCCCTCAGAGCCAGAAATGAGGCTCAGATCCTCCGCTCATTCACTCCAGGTGCATCCATTAGGCTCTGACATCATACAGACCCACTGTGAACTGTGTCCGTTAGGAATACTTTCCACAGCAGGCAGCAGAAAACCCAACTACGCTGGCTGAAGCAGAGAAGGGTTCTTTTTCTCACGTACTAAGAAGCTGCGAGTAGGCGGCTGCCGATGCTCGTTTCTGTGCCCAGCGGTGCTGCGGGGCTGAGGCCATTTCTGTGATTTTGCACTTACGGTCGGGGGTGCCCACTGGACCCAGTCTGGGCAATAAGTAAGGCAGAACACATCCCACGTGTTTAAATTGTGACTTCAGGGAGACAGAATAACAAAAAAACAAGCAAAGGCCTATTGATCACTGCCAGTGGGTGTTAGTGACCAGCTAGGCGACAGGCAGGGGTCACTTGGCCACCTTCTCTGTCTACACTCGCTCCCCTGGTGACCTCATCCCACCCCATGGCTTTAAATCCTGTCTATACACCGACAGCACCACCCCCGTGACATCTCTCCTAGTGTAGACGTGTTCATCCAAGGGCTTACTTTCCTCTGTGTGAACGTCCATTAGGCCTCTTAGACCTGACGTGACTGGAGCAGATATTTAAGGAGCCGTTTCACCCAGTGGGTGAGCATTAGGAAAGGGGAAGTCGAGGGGCACCCCCTGGAGCACACGTAGCCCAAGAAAATGCATCCGGGCCAGATGGGAGCCACGCAGCAGCCACGCTCCCGCTCCCCCGCCCCACGCTGCTCTCTCTGCCCCCAAGGTCGGCAGCTCGAGTCTGTCCGGGCTGAGGCCGCCGAGAAGGGCGACGTGGGCCTGGTGGCCGAGAGCAGCCGCAGCACGCAGAGGCTCATGCTTCCCCCGCCCGCCCTCACCGCCTCTGGGGTCTTCACCAAGTTCCAGGACATCGCCCGGCTCGCTGGCAGCGCTGTGAGTGGGCAGGGCGGCTCCCCCCAGGGCCCCAGACCCGCCGCTCTGCATCTCGGGGCTCAGAGCCATGCGTGGGGCAAGAAGGCTTCCGGTTAGATGTGGGGCTGATGGCTTCAGTCCCCCCTGTGGTTCCAGAGCTTCCTTTCCTTCTTGCTGCTCTGGAAGCAGGGGTGGGGGGCCCAAGGGTGGCAGCTCCCAGGCAGCTGGGATGGCTGGGAGGAGGTGGGGGCCCTCCCTTCACCCCCAGCACCAACTGCTCTCTCCGCTCCTCTTCAGTCCACAACCAAGAAGATGGACGTCATCAAAGGCCTCTTTGTTGCCTGCCGCCACTCAGAAGCCCGGTTCATCGCCAGGTGAGTGGGCCCGGGTGGGACCGGCAGCTGGACTCTGCACGGGTGCCCTGACCGCCCTTAGATGAGGACAGCGTGGTGAGGGGCCCAGGCCCTGAAGGCGGGACAGGGAGCATGGGTTTCCTTCCGTGGGCCGGCTCCTGTTCCTGGTACTGCTGCTTGGAGTGGGGTCCTGGAGTAGACTGCCAGAATTGATCAGTGATGTCTGCCATGGCCTGAGCCAGGCGGGACAGCTCCAGAGCCAGGTGGTTGCCGTGACAGTGAAGACAAAACCATGGACAGCTCACATCGTGGGACATGTTTGGGTGCCCTGCCCCGTGCCCCATGTTTTATCCCGTCAGTTCCTCCCTCCAGCTCTGCAGGGTCGGCCCTGTCAGCCTCTCCCTGTTTACAGAGGGGAGGTGGAGGTACAGGAAGGTTAAGCCTCGTGCCCAAGGTCACTGGCTCCAAGCAAGGCCCGTGCCAGGACAGGTTCTTGACCATCACACCCTGGCACCACCGGGGCAGCTGTGTTCAGGTTCCAGGCCCGGCTCTGCCCCTGCTCGCCCTCCCTGAGTTCGCTGCTTTCTCAAAGGGCAGCTGAGATGAGAGGCCCCTGGTTCTGCTACCAGGAAACCCTGTCGTCGTGGTTGTTACTGGCTGGCCTTGGTTTCCTCATCTGTTAAGTGGGGCTGTGTGATCTCTTGGGTCCCTCCGGCTCTGGAGGTTGTTCTGGTTTTGCGGAGAAGGTCTGCAGAAGGTGGAGGCGGGGGAGACGGGAGGAGGCGGAAGCAGGTGTGGAGGGCAAGATGAGGCAGGTGCAGACAAGCCCACGCCCCCTCGCCCGCTCTCTCCCCAGGGCCCTGAGTGGACGGCTGCGCCTCGGGCTGGCAGAGCAGTCGGTGTTGGCCGCCCTGGCCCAGGCCGTGAGCCTCACACCCCCGGGCCAAGGTGAGCCCCCTGTTGGTCCCTGTGCTGCCTCTTCCCTTTCAGAAGTCCACGCCCACCCCTCCCCCACGGGGCTCCCGCCTCCCACTGTTGCTCCAGGCTGCTCTTTGAGGCAAGCGTCCTCAGCAGCCGAGTTTACAACATGCCACCACTGGACCCTGGGGCAGCTGAGGGGATTGAGTCCATCCCAAAGCCTCTTCTGGTGGGTCTTGTCTTAGAATTCCCCCCGGCCGTGGTGGATGCTGGGAAGGGCAAGACACCAGAGGCCAGAAAAACATGGCTGGAGGAGCAAGGCATGATCCTGAAGCAGACGTTCTGGTGAGTTCCAGGGGCCCTGGGCAGAGCGAGAGGGGCCGGGGGAGCCAGAGGGGCAGTGGGCTCAGTGCCAGGGACCAGGGGTGATGTGGGGGGTCAGTGGGCGGGGCATAAGGGGTGATGGGTGATATAGGGAGGCAGTGAGTGGGGCATGAGGGGCCAGGGGTGATGTGGGGGGTCAGTGGGCGGGGCATAAGGGGTGATGGGTGATGTGGGGAGGTACTGGGCAGGGCATGAGGAACCAGGGGTGATGTGGGGGATCGGTGGGCGGGGCACAAGGGGCTCTGGGTGATGTGGGGGGCAGGGGGTGGGGCATGAGGGTTGATGGGTGATGCGGGGAGGCAGTGAGTGGGGCATGAGGGGCCGGGGTGATGTGGGGGGCAGGGGGCGGGGCATGAGGGGTGATGGGTGATGTGGGAGGGGCCAACGACTGACCAGTTTTACTGACCGTCATGGGCCAGTGATGGAGCACTGGGTGGTGACCTAGACAAGACTGGTGCTGGGGATTGGGATGGTGACAGAGATCAGGAAGGTGGCGAACGGTGAAGGGTCAGTGATGCAGGGACAGGGAGAGGCAGAGACACTGCCAGCAGGGGACAGCAGCAGCATCCAGAGGCTCCTGAGTTCCAGACAGGACTGCACGTGTGGAAAGGCCTTGAGAGACCCTGGGAGGGGCTAGCGACTGACGCACATGAGGGGTCGTGACAGTCACGGGGAGGATATCCATGGCGTGATGGTGAGGGCTCCAGAGAGAGCCACGTGGAGGGACCTGGCCAGTGGCAAGAGGGTGACTGCCCAGAGAGAGCGTCAGCGGCCAGAGGGCCTGTGAGCAACTCCACAGATACCCACAGAGCACCCGCTCCAGCCAGGCCCGCCCTGGGTGCTGGGCACACGGCCGTGGGAAAGCCCCGCAGAGCCCCCTGGTCAGGGCAGTGGCCTCAACTCTGCCTGCACGTGGGGATCCACCAGTGTGGGGATCCATCAGCTGTCGCTCTGAAGCCTGCCCCAGGCCCCTTAAATCAGAATCTCTGGAGGCCGAGCCTGGCCTTGAAGAAAGACCTTTATTTTTTTTTAAACGCACCTGTGGGTGTGTCTGATGTGTAGCCCAGGTGGAGAGTCGGTGGTCTCATGATGACACTGAGGGCTGACGGCAGGCCCAGACCAAGGGAGACAGAGTTGAGTGATGTACAGTGAGATCATGGGAGGACCCTGACAGAGACGGCGAGGGACAGGGTGACAAGAGGAGTCAGGGATGGCGGGAGCAGACCCGGGGACAAGGTGACAGACAGGCAGAGGTGGATCTTGCAGCCACAGAGCAGAATTCTGGAAAGACACCTCCCACCTTGTTCTTGTCCCCTCCCCACTCCAGTGAGGTGCCCGACCTGGACCGGATCGTCCCCGTGCTGCTGGAGCATGGCCTGGAACGCCTCCCGGAGCACTGCAGGCTGAGCCCAGGTACAGGCCTGTCACGGGGCCCTCGGGAGTGTGACCACAGCCTCCCCCTGGGCAGAGCTGGCTCCTGGGCCCTGGGAGCTGAGGGCTGGTCCTCCCGGGCTCCATTCCCTCCTCCTGGCCTTGGCTTCTGCCCTCCAGGGTGGCTGTGAGGGTGCCCACTAGGAGGAGGGCCCCCTCTAAGAGCTGCAGAATCCTCTCCACCAAAACCGAGTCCTGTTCCCTGGTGCGAAGGGCCATTCCTCGTCTCCTTGGAGGTCCTCTTCTGTATTAAACAGGCAGTTGAAGTGGCTGTATTGCGATACCCCAGAAGGCAGTGGGTCGGCCCGACAGTCTCTCTCTTGGGTGTCAGAGTGAAAGGCAGGCAGGGAGATCACGCAGCTGCACTCAGGGATCCCCAGGGGCCCAAGTTCCTTCCATCTCATCACTTGGTCCTCCCGAGGTTGTCACCCTAAGGTGCATGGTCAGAGATGGCTCACGTCTCTGTTTTAGATTACAAGAAGAGGGAAAGAGGGATGGGACGGCCCAATCCCCAGTGATGATGTGAGCCAGACGCGGCACACGTCACTTCTATGTGCATTTGGAAGTCTGCGTGGTCCTCAGTCCCTGCCACACTCCCTCTCTTGTTTATTGCCTTCCCTCCGTCCCCAGACTACCCAACTCACTCTCTCTCCTCCCTTCCCAGGGGTCCCCCTGAAACCAATGTTGGCACACCCCACCCGGGGCGTCAGTGAGGTCCTGAAACGCTTCGAGGAGGCAGCCTTCACCTGCGAGTACAAATACGATGGGCAGAGGGCTCAGGTAGGGGGGGACACACATCCCTTCGGCAGAAAGGAGCGAGCTGGAGCAGGGGCGTGGGGTTGGCCAGACGGAGCTCAGAGCCGGCTTCTGCCGTGGACTGCCTGTCTGGCGTTGCACACCCCTGAGGGCTTCAGTCCCCACCTCTTTGCGGTGGGTGCAATGATAACCACCTCACTGGCTTGTCTGAAGATCAGTCTTTTTTGATAAAATCGTCAAAATTCCTGACCCATGGCAGTGGGAGCTCAAGAAGTGTCGGGCCTGCTTGTGTGCTCCTGGTGGGTGTGCTGATTACAACAGACCCCCCCGTAACCCGCAGTGCAGTCAGATGAGCACGTGTCCTGCGACCCTGTCCTGGAGACATCTCGGTTGGGTCTGTGACGATGCCTGTTGTGGCTCTTCCGTCCTGGCGGGGAGCCGGGGCAGTCTCGGTGTCATCGCCTACGGATGGATAGGGAAGCGGCAGGGCCACCTGCAGTGCTTGGCGACAATCACAACCAGGGGTTCAGTGCACCCTTAGCGTGTAGATGGACCTTCAAAATACAGTGCTGGGGAAAAAATAAGAAATAAAATGATTTACAGTAGCAACAGTGATTTAAAAGTATATATATGTATTTTTTAAGTCTTGTATTTTGTATCATAGACACACAGTGACTTCTTGAGAAAACATACATGTAAGGTGGCATGTGTGTAGCTCTCCTGCAGGACTCTGAGCAGACTGTAGTAAAATAAGTAAATTAGCAGTGAAAACCAGAATGACATGTACCACATAGTCACATCCAGGCAAATCAACAAATAAATACATAGCAAGACACTTGTGCTTAGAGGGGGAGAGCGGTGGGGACTGGGATGATGAAGAAAAAGACGGCAAGGGCTCCCACACACTGGGGTGGGAGGTGCTTTGGAACCAAGGAGATGATTCACTCCAGTCCCTGCCCCAGTTCCTCCTCCAGAGCTTCTGGAACCTTCTGCCAGTGAAAGTGGGGTCAGAAGAGAAAGGAGGGGCCGCCTGGGGTGGACTGAGCTGTGATCTCCTCTGCCCTCTCGCTGTCCCAGATCCATGTCCTGGAAGGCGGGGAGGTGAAAATCTTCAGCAGGAATCAGGAGGACAATACCGGAAAGTACCCCGACGTCATCAGCCGCATCCCCAAGGTGAGCGTCTGCCACCGCCTTGCTCAGACGGGGCTGCGGTCACTGGCACAGAGAACCGAGGCCCATCCCGGCCAGCTCGGTGCACTGGGGGTTTATTGCAAGGAAATCAGAGTGCGTTTGGCTGCAAATAACGGAGCACCTGACTCGCAGAGGCTCAAGCCGATGGTATTTTTTCTCAGTGAAATCTGGAAGCGCGGCCTGAGGCTGGCTCAGCTGTGCACTGCGTCCTGGGCCAGCTCGTTTCTGTCTCTGTCCTCTGCTGTTCTTGGCTGCTTGGCTTTTCATCCCAGTGCCTGTCCCTGATGGTTGCCGATAGCTGCCACACGTCCAGACAGAAAGACAGGCGGGGAAGGGTTCCAGCTTCTGTCCCCTCCCGTGAGGAAAGTCGGCGCTTTCTCGGATGCCTCCCAGCACCCCTGGCTGACTCCAGTTTGGGGGTCACTGTTCAGCACTGGGCGCTGTGGCCACCCTGGGAGGCTGGGAAAGCCAGCGTCTCACTCTCCGGCGGGAGGAGTGGTGGGGACAAGGACGGAGGGAGGCAGCCTGCACATCGGCCCCACCCTCAAAGTAGGACTGGGCCTTGAGGGCCCTGGAGCTGGGCGCATCTCTGCTCCTGTTTTAGGAGTCCTCTCTCAGAGCCCTTCTCCTTGCCTGCCCTAATTAATTAGGAAATTGGCTCTTTCTGGAACCCCGAGCACAGAAGTGACAGGACAGTGTGGGCATTAGTGGAACTCCTGTTAAGTGCCAAGCACTTTTTTTTCTTTTTTGGTGAGGAAGATTGGCCCCGAGCAAACGTCCATTGCCATCTTCCTCTTTTTGCTGAGGAGGATTGTCACTGAGCTGACATCTCTGCCCATCTTCCTCTATTTTGTATGTGGGACGCTGCCACAGCGTGGTTTGATGAGCAGTGCCCAGGTCTGCGCCGTGACTCCGAACTGGTGAACCCCGGGACGCCAAAGTGGAGCTCATGAACTTAAGCACTGTGCCACCAGGCTGGCCCCTATTTTTTTTTTGTAATTAATTTTTTAAGGTGTAATTTCCGTAAAAGTTTCTAAGTGTAGAGGGTACAGGTTGATGAGTTTTGACAAACTTTTACACCCACGTGATCAACACATGACACATTTCCATACTGTCATCACTCTGAGATGTTTCCTCGTGCCGCCTGCCAGCCAGGCCGTCTCCTCTGCCCCAGCCCATCCGTCTCAGAGACACACCCCTTCTTTGTAGCCACAGGTAGGTTCTGCCGGTTCTGGAGCTTCAGGTAAGTGGTTTCCTACAGTCCGGCATCTTTTGCATCTGACTTCTTTCACTCGTTCATTCAGCCAGTATTTATTGGGTGTCTGCTCTGTGCCGATTCTGTGCTGGAGACAGGTTGTGACACAGACGGCAGGGCAGGCAGGTCTTCATCAGAAAGACCCGACATTGCCTCTAGAGTTGAACATGGAGATCGGGGCTCCAAAGACAAGGACCAGCATCCTATGAGCCTTTCTAACAGTCAGACTTGACTTGCCCTTGGTGTCAGGGGAGCAGGGCCGTCACTGTGCACAGCCGCAGGATACCGTGTGAGTGGTGCCCCCTGGGGTTGTGCACGGCATTCTTCTGAGGGAAAAGAAGTCTCCCCAGTGGAGATGAAGGATGAGGATGGGCATGCAAGTGTGAAGAGCATGTGCAAAGGCCCAGCGACTTGAGGGGCACAGCCCATTCAAGAAACAGACTGGCTAGCTTGTTGGGGTGCAGAGAGCAAGTCTGAGGGGGCCAGGTGAGCTGAGGGAGGGCTGGGGGCTGACCAGGGGGAGCCTCCACAGCTGTGGAGAGCCGTGGGATGCTTGCTAGCAGGGATGTACCGTGATCAGGTTTGGGGTTTGCCAAGAGCATGCTGACTGCTGTGAGGAGAAGGGCTTAGCCGGGGTCCATGTAGGAGGGGGACCAGTAAGATGGTGTGGCTTAGGCTGGACCGGGCTCAGTGAGGTGGTGGCCACTGGACAGCTTAGGGGGGCTTCAGAGGGGAAATCAACAAGTTCACTGGGGAAGTGAATGTGACGTGGGAGGAAGATGACAAAGGCTCCTGGGTTTCCAGCTTGTGGGACCAAATGGTGAGCCCTCAGAAAAGTTTACTTTCTCCTCTCTCAGTGGGGAATAGAAAAGAGGATCTGTGTTCATCTGTGTCTCGTGGAGGATGGCATCAGTTCATCTGTGGATTTCAAGAGCAGAAGGGGGCCAGCCAAGTGGCGCAGTGGTTAAGTTTGCATGTTCCGCTTCAGCAGCCCAGGTTCACCGATTCGGATCCCGGCTGCGGACCTACACACTGCTTGTCAGGCCATGCTGTGGCAGGCGTCCCACATATAAAGTAGAGGAAGATGGGCACGGATGTTAGCTCAGGACCAGTCTTCCTCAGCAAAAGAAGGAGGATTGGCAGCAGATGTTAGCTCAGGGCTAATCTTCCTCCAAAGGAAAAACAAACTCATTAATAAAGAATTGCCTATGTTGAAAAAGAATAAATTAAAAAAAAACAAACACAACTGCAGAAGAAGGAAAAGGGAGTTTGTTTCCTTAAGCCTGTCTTTTGGCCTCGTCCCCCACCTCTCATCAGCCCTGGGTCTCCCCCTTCACCTTTCAGATTAGACTCCCGTCAGTCACGTCCTTCATCCTGGACACTGAAGCCGTGGCCTGGGACCGGGAAAAGAAGCAGATCCAGCCATTCCAAGTGCTCACCACCCGCAAGCGCAAGGTAGCCTCAGCCCCCGTCCACCCCCTGCCATGGCCCACACTCCCTCATGCTCCCAGTCCTGCCGTCCCCAGAAGGACAGTGTCAGTGGGGATGCCTTTCTCTCAGCCTTTGGCAGTATGGCTGCCACTGCTCCAGCCATTGTGTTCTCATCCCAGCATGCCAAGTAGGAAGCGAGGAAGAGTCCTTTTCCTATGTCTCTATGTTTTTCTCTGAAAGGTCTGTTCCAGGAGCCCCCACAACCTGCCCCACAGTGAACTTTGCTCTTGTGGGCCAGGATTGTATCAGGTCACCACCATTAGCTGCAGGAGAGGGCAGGAGAGCAAATACGGAACAGGGGAGTGAGGTGGTTGGGGTTAGCTGAGAGCCATCATGATTCAGCATGGCCACCCTCACAGGTGTGCGACCTGTTAGCTGGGCATAAGGGGAGAGTGCAAGGTGACCGTGGTGTCTGCCTCAGGCACGACGGGCCGGGCCTCAGCTTCCCCCCTCCTGGTCTCCTGCCCCATCCAGGAGGTGGACGCCGCGGAGATACAGGTGCAGGTGTGTCTGTACGCCTTCGACCTCATCTACCTCAATGGAAAGGTGAGTTCCCGCCGGAGGTCGTGTGCCAGAGCCGAGGGGCCACGGGGTGGCGTGTGAGCTCGGGAGCCGGCGGTCTGAGGGTCATTTCTCACTCTGTTGCGTCCCTGAGCTGGGAGGCCACACTCGGGCAGCAGTTCTCAAAGTGTGGTCCGAGGACCCCTGTGGGTCCCCAAGACCCTTTCAGGGGCGTCTGTGAGGGCCTCCCTTTTCCAACTCCACATCTCTGTGAGGTGGATTTTCTTCATGTGCCGCAGCCACAGCGACATATGCCGCCGTCCGAGCACAGAGGCAGGTGTGAGAATCCAGCCTCTGTTAAGCTAGATGGGAAAGAATTAGAAAAATGTAAAATAATGCCCTTCTTCTCACTAGTATTTTTTTTTTTAAAGATTGGCCCTAAGCTAACATCTGTTACCAATCTTCTTTTCTTTTTTTTCTCTTTCTTTTCCCCAAAGCCCTCCAGTACATAGCTGTGTATTCTAGTTGTGGCGTGTGGGATGCCACCTCAGCATGGCTTGATGAGCAGTGCCATGTCTGCACCCAGGATGCCCCTAACTAGTATTTTTTTAAATATAGGCATATTTCATAAAAATTTATTGTTGGGTTAACATCCTGGATTTATTATTTTTAAGTGAATTAATAAATGTTTTTAAGTTTTCTCACTTTTAAAATGGTTAGTATCCCTATGTGATATAGTAGTTAATACCGTATTACTCATATGGTAAATATCAAGAGATATAACCCACATACACAGAGGCTCTTTGGTATGAGTCCTTAAGAAGTTTCCAGAATGCGAAGGGGTCCTCTACTGTCTGGTTCTTTGCGGGAAAAGGTTGCCAACCTGTGGATTAAACATGGAAAACATTCTCTGAGGAATGTTTATGTTATAACCTCATGGTCATCGGCTGCTTTTTGCCTTAATTCAACCGGTGTTAAGAAAGGAACCCTAGTCACATTTAAAGAGACCAATAAAGGACCATTCAGGCTCCAGCAGGCCTGTGGCTCCCCCTTATGCTCCTGGGGTCCCTGCATATAAATGGTCTCCAGCCCCAGACTTTATTTTATTTATTTATCTTTTTTAAAAATTGGCACCTAAGCTAACATCTGTTGCCAGTCTTCTTTTTTTTTCCTTCTTCTTCTCCCCAAAGCCCCCAGTACATAATTGTATACTCTAGTTGTGAGTGCTTCTGGTTGTGGCATGTGGGACGCTGCCTCAGTGTGGCCTGATGAGCAGTGCCGTGTCCACACCCAGGATCCAAACTGGTGAAACCCCAGGCCACCGAAGCGGAGCGCGAGAACTTAACCACTCGGCCCCGGGGCGGCCCCTCCAGCCCCACTTTAAACTCTCAGACCCCTCCTGTCGGCGTGGTTCTTCCCTCTGGAGGATCTCCATCAGCCACACCATGACTCGTGACCCTCCGCTTCCCGTTGGTCCCGAGGTCGGGCTCATTCTCTTCGTTTCCGCAGTGACCTCCTGCCCTCTCTCGCCCCCAGTCCCTGGTGCGGGAGCCCCTTTCCCGACGCCGGCAGCTGCTTCGGGAGAACTTCGTGGAGACGGAGGGCGAGTTCGTCTTCGCCACCTCCCTGGACACCAAGGACACGGACCAGATCGCCGAGTTCCTGGAGCAGTCGGTGAAAGGTGAGGGCGCCCGCTCGTCCCTCCGCCAGCCCGGGCTCCCCGCCATCCTCGCTGGCCCCGGCCCCACCCTGGCCGGTTAGACTGGAAGCCTGCCTGCCCCAGGGACCGAGAGTGGGCTTCACAGGGCTCCTGTGTCTCCTTCAGACTCCTGCGAGGGGCTCATGGTGAAAACCCTGGATGTCGACGCCACCTACGAGATCGCCAAGAGGTCGCACAACTGGCTCAAGGTGACTCCCGCCCGCTGCCCAGCCTTCCTGCCGGGCCCTGGAGCGGGAAGTCTCTCCCCACTGGGCAGTTGGTTTCCGGTCTCCACACCTCGCCCGATTTGAGCTCGGGAGCACCCTCTCCATTCCTCCCGCAATGCCTCCCATGGCTGCCAGCCTCAGATCTCCCTTCCGCACAGCCCTGGTCATGAAGTTGTCAAAACTTAGCTCCAGCTAAGTGCTCCGAGGGCCATGGTGAGAGAACCGGGTGAGGTGTCTCTTCTCCCTGAGCTTGGGCGAGGCCAAGGAAGGGAGTCAGCCAGGGCATGAACGAGATAAAGTCAGTAGGAATGAGTGCTGGGAGGAAAGCAAGTCAGCTCAGGGCCTGCGAGGGCCTGGCAGTGCTTCCGGTGATTGGAAAAGCCCCTCCAGCGGTGACGTCCAGGTGGAGACATGGACAGCAGGAAGGCGTTGGCCACGTGAGGATCAGGGCAGAGCGTCTGGGAGGAGGATGAGGGGGAGCAAGTGCAAAGGCCCTGAGGTAGGAACAAGCTCAGTGTGTGCAGGGAGTCAGGCGAGAGGCGAGGTCAGGTGGAGAGTAGGTTCCAGGTCACACAGCGCATTGGGGGCCGTGGCGACGTAAACTGGATTTCCCTCTAAGGGTTTTGGGAAGCCGGCAGAGGTTTTAAGCAGGAAGTCATGTGGTCTAGTTGTCCTTTTCCACAGGTCCTCTGGCTGCTCTGTGGATGGTGGGCGGGTGTGGGGGGTGCTGGGCACAAGCAGGGACAGGTGGGCAGGAAGCTGTCATCGGTAAGAGATGCCGGAGGCTCGAGTGGAGAGGGTCAGCGAGGAGGGGGCGAGAGATGGAAGCGGGAGATGGCCTGGAGTGGTGCTGTCTGGTCCTGCTGCCTGCGTTTCCTGTGTGTCACTGCGGTCTGTCTCGCCTCCTGGACTGTCGGCAGCTGTGAGGGTGCGAACGTGTCCTGTCATAGGAAGTGTTCATTGTTGTGTCCCCAAGGCTCAGCTCCTGCCTGGCACACAGTCACCACTTCTTAACGTTTCTGGAATTAGATAGATGTCCTCCACGTGAAGGAGTGGGACGCGCCTCCATACTGAGGGCAAGGGGGAGCCCAGGGTGACCCCGAGTTCCCCTGTCTGACCATTCCCGTCAGCCCGCCTGCTCTTCCCATCTCAGTCGCCCCTTTCTCGTTCGCTCTTCAAACCCGGAAGCCCGTTCCGCGTCTAGTCTCCTCCCGGGGGCCGTCCTCGGCTTTATGGGGGTTCCTCAGACCCCCGCAGTCCCCTTCACCCCACCGTTAACCTCAGCAGTGAGGCCCACGCCTCGGCGGCCTCGCCATCGCCTGCCTTCCCTCTCCCAGCTGAAGAAGGACTACCTCGATGGCGTGGGCGACACCCTGGACCTCGTGGTGATCGGCGCCTACCTGGGCCGGGGGAAGCGGGCCGGCCGCTACGGGGGCTTCCTGCTGGCCTGCTACGACGAGGAGAGTGAGGAGCTGCAGGCCATATGCAAGGTGCTGGGAGCCGGGGTTGGCCGCAGAAGCGAGTGGGAAGTGGCTTTGACTCAGCCCGGGAAGGGCCTGGACCAAAAGGCTCTCACATCCTTCCCGCAAAGGATTATTTTTTTCTTCCTAGTTTTTATTTACTTTTTCTGATCCTATAAGTAACTCTTGCTTCACATAGAGAAATGGGCTAGATTACAAAGCTATGTCAGTTAGGAATTGAGTTCAGCTGCAGATAACGGTGGCTTAAGGGAGAAAAGGATTTATTTTTATCTCACATAATGAGAGGTCTGGAGCGTGGCAGGCAGCTCTCTGTGTCATTAGGGACCCAGGCTCCTCCTCTTTCCGCACAGTAGTTTTGACTGTCATGTGCTTCTGGCCTTGTCTTCTCAGTGTGGCTGCAGGAGCTCCAGCCATCATGGCCATGTGTGCTCCAAGCAGCAGGAAGGAGGAGGCCGATGGGCCACCTGAATCAGCCTCAGCCAGTGAACAACTTCTGCTTAAGTTACGTTGATCAGAACTTTGCTCCATGGCCCACCCCCATCTGCAAGGGAGCCTGGGAAACATGTAGTGGTTTTTGTTTCTGTTACGAGCTGCACACGTTGTTGATCCAAAAAATCGGGGGCTTTTGCCACAGAACCAGAGTAAAGTATTACCCACAACTCTACTGCCCAGAGGCAACCACTAGTAATATTTGAGGGGATGTTTTATTTTTACTTTTACAAAGTTGTGCTTCTATATGAGTAATTTTCTTTTCTGTGTATTACCCTGTAAATACTGTATTTGAAATGCCGTCCGGTGGATTTAAGTAATGTAGTGATAAGAAATGTCAGTGTTTTCATTTGCCATTCAGGGCTTTTATGAACAGGACTTGAATGCCAGAGGTTTTCACGTAGATGTGCCCCCGTTTCCCACACCAGCTCCCCGTGCTTAGGGGGTTCTCTTGTCGCCCGCTGTGTTCTGATGACTGAGTCAGCCCTGCACGGACGTTAACCCGTGTAGTCTGGGGGAGAGGTGATTTTACAGTTCACGCCCATCTGTCTGTCACCACTTCCCATTATTTATTTAGAACAGATTTTTAAAAGAGCTATTGCCAGGGCAACAGGTGAGAAAAATTCTAAGGCTCTCAGTATAGAAAGGGGTTTCCCGTTGAAGTTTTGTATCTGGTGTTTGAAGATGCCCACCTCGCTGCAGGGTTGCAGGTGAGGAATGTTTTTGAACCTTGACTGTTTTGGTAGATGGAAGAAAACTCTTGGGTTAAGATGGGAGACTGTGTGGGTTTTGGGGCTGGTGGGATGCGGGGGAGCCCAAGGGAGCGACTTGCTGGGCCAGAGAGCCCGGAGCAGAGGGGGCGACGGAGAGCAGCTGGGAGAGCGACCCCATCCCGGTCGGCGGCGATGCTCCTCCGTCGGCTGCATGCTCAGCATCCCCCGGCCCTTCAGCTCTGGGTTCTGCGGACACTGGTCAGGCCGCAGAGGGTGCGGCCCACTGGTGCCTGCAGATTTGGGTCCTTGGGAGCCAGGAGGAGGCGCCGAGCTGCTGACGTCCCTTGTCCTCCCCTCAGCTTGGTACTGGCTTCAGCGACGAGGAGCTGGAGGAGCATCACCAGAGCCTGCAGGTGAGCGGCGGCCTGGCCGTGCCTCGGCCTCTCTGCCCGCAGCGGCGCTCTGTGTGTGCAGGCTCCAGGCTCGGGGCTCGGCGTGCGGGCAGGGGGGCAGCGGGCAGAGAGCTGGCCACTCGCCAGTGATGCCGGGCAGGGAGCCTCATCTCCTCGCTCAGGGCCTGGCTGCGTGGGGCCTGGGGGGTCCCGGGGCAGGGCGCTGTTGCAGGGGTCCCTCAGTTCATCCTTGGAGTGCTGGGTGAGCCCCCAGTAATTGGGAGTTTGTCGTCATGGTCACAGGTGTCTTCGAGTATGACTCTGTCCTTCCTGTGTGTTGGTGTCTCTAGGTCTCTGTCTTTCATTTCTTCCCTCATCCCATTTCGCCTCATCCACCCCAGCTTTTTACTTTAAGGGGTGTCTGTGTCTATCCCTACCCCTGTTTCCCACCGATTTCCTCACCCCTTCGCCCCCTGACCCCCAGTTTGGACTTTGAGACCTGAAGCCTCTCTTGCTCATTCCCCCTGCTCCCTGCAGGCCCTGGTGCTGCCCAGCCCGCGCCCCTACGTCCGGGCGGACGGCGCCGTGGCCCCCGACCACTGGCTGGACCCCAGCGCCGTGTGGGAGGTGAAGTGCGCCGACCTGTCCCTCTCCCCCATCTACCCTGCGGCCCGGGGCATGGTGAGTGGCTGGAGGACTGGGGTGGACCCCCCGGGGAAGGCCCGATGGGAGAGCGGGGCGCAGAGTCGGGAGGCATCTCAGAGCGCATGTCTGCTCTTGCCAGCTAATGATTAGGAAAGCTTTAGCTTGAATTTTATGTGGGTGTCAGATAATGGGGCTAAAAGTCTCATTTTTTAAGAAAAATGAAATTCCCTGGGAGTAGAAAGAACATGGTGAAATTGCTCCTTTTCCTGTCATAATCTCACGTTCAATTCTTAAGTAATTTTTGAAAACAGTTAAGTAAAAGCTGAGGATACTTCTTGCTGAGTATTTATAACTGCTGCAATTTCTTTCTCCAACATAATTAATTTTCACGCTACCAAGGTTTAAAATGCCTCGGCTCACATCTCTGACTCGTGTTCAGTCCTCAGCACCCGCTAAGGGACCCCTGTGCCCGGGGAAGACACTGCCTGAGACCAGCACTCGGAAAGCTCTCAGCCTCCTCCTGCAGGAAAAGAATCAGTCTCACATTAAAAATTTACCTTTCTGGGGCCGCCCCCGTGGCCAAATGGTTAAGTTCGTGTGCTCTGCTTCGGAGGCCCAGGGTTCGTGGGTTTGGATCCTGGATGTGGACCTACACCACTCATCAAGCCATGCTGTGGCAGCGTCCCACACAGAAGAACTAGAATGAGTAAAATCTGGGATATACAGCTGTGCACTGGGGCTTTGGGGAGAGAAAAAAAAAAAGAAGTTGGCAACAGATGTTAGCTCAGGGCCAATCTTCTTCACCAAGAAGCATACTTAAAAAAAAAGTGTACCTTTCTTTGAGATTTCTTTCCACCCCTCCAGGTTTAGCTACCATGCACTTTTCTGATTAGAAGCAGACATCCATTTAAAGGGGGAATTCTTTTTCTTTTTTTTTTTTGCTGGGAATGATTCACCCTGAACTAACATCTGTTGTCAGTCTTCCTTTTTTTTCTTTTCCTCCCCAAAGCAGCAGTATATAGTTGTATATTCTAGTTGTAGGTCCTTCTAGTTCTTCTGTGTGAGACACCGCCACAGCAGGGCCACTGATTGACGAGTGGTGTGGTTCCCCGCCTGGGAACCAAACCTGGGCCTCTGAAGCAGAGCGTGCTGAACTTTACCCCCTAGGCTGCCAGCGCTGGCTCATGGCACTCATACTTTTGATCCGATTTTTTTTTTTAATTTCTCCCTCATGCTCCAGATTACAAAGTCAGGGTCCCCAGGTCCACATGATAGGAGCAGCACATGGACGCTGTGCATATCACTTGTATACACTCATTTCTTCCTCACAAAACACTGAGCCTCCTCATTTTACAGATGGGAGAGTAGAGCCCAGGAGCTTAGGTATCTGGCCCAGGGTCACACAGCCACTGAGAGTGGGAGCTGTGAGCTGGACCCTGCAGACGGTTCTAGAATCCATGCCCTCAGTCTGTGCTGCTCTCTCTCTCGGCCCTAACGATAATAATAATAGTAACAGCGTAAATAACAACTACAGCAGCTGGCATTTCTTAAGTGCTTATTATGCCCCAGGTACGGCCCCAAGCACTTTCTTATCTTATTTAATCTTACAACGAACCACCGCTTAGCCCCATTGTCCGGATCACAAAGCTGGGGCCAGAGGTGCAGGAGGGAGGATAGACTTTGGAGAGGGAATTGCTGCAGCTTTCAGACCTCAGGCTGGACCACAGGAGGGTCTCCATCACCCCCCGCCTCCCCCTAGATGGATGGCGAGAAGGGGATCTCCCTTCGCTTCCCTCGGTTTATTCGCGTCCGTGAAGACAAGAAGCCCGAGGAGGCCACCACCAGCGCCCAGGTGAGGCCCTTGGAGGAGGGGCGGGACGCCCGGTGGGGCTGGTTCTTGGAGGGGTGGATTCTGGCCTGGAAGGGCATGGGAGGACATGGGGCAGCCCCAGGGCCTCTGACCTCCCCGCTCCCACCCTTTCTGCTCAGGTGGCCCATCTGTACTGGAAGCAAAGTCAGATTCAGAACCAGCAAGGCACGGACGTGGACTCCGACCCGGAAGATTTCTACTAGGCCCCTGCCCTGCAGGAGCCGGGGCGGCAGGGGTGGAGGGCCTGGACACATTGCCTCTGTCGAGCAAGCCTGGCGTTGCTGCCTGGGGGCGTGTGCAAGTCAGGCGTGTGTGTGCATGTGAGGGGAAGGCTTAGGTTGGGGTTTGGGTTCACCTGGTTGTTTTTCTCAATAAATAATTATTGAACGCCTGCCCTGTGTCGGTCTGTGCTGGGCTCCGCGGGGCCGGCTCTGACGGCTCAACTTTGGTAGCGCAAGACAGTGCGCCAGGAACCGCCTAAACCAGCGCCTTCCAGGAGAACTTTCCGCAGTGATGGAGGTGTTCTGCGTCCGTGCTGTGCGACGTCCCGGCCTCACGTGATGCTGTTGAGCACTCGAGATGTGACCAGTGCGATCGAGGACTCAAATATTTTATTTACCTTTCATTTAAATAGCCACAGGTTGCTATTTTATAGGACAGCGCCCATCTCAGCTCTTTGCGTGTATATATATTAACTCAGTTAAGCTCCCGGCAGTCCACCAGGTAGGCACTGCGGGGAGCCTTGTTTCACAGATGGAGGACATGGAAGCACAGAGAAGGGAAGCGGCTGGCCCAGGGCCGCAGCCGGGACTGCCAGCACCAGGGTTCTGACTTGGCGGTCCGGCTCCAGGCCCCACCCCTTGCGGGTACCGTCCCATCCTCTGGAGACAGTGCAGTGACCTGTGTCAGACTCCCAGCCCTGCGACCTTCCCACTGGTGACCAGGCGTGGCCTCAGAATCCTCAGCATGGTTTTCTGGACCTGACCCCTGAGGGCAGGCCGTGGCCGGGCCTGTTTTTCTCACGCTTCTATCCGCAGCCCCTAGCACAATGCCTGGCATGTGTCGGTGCTGTTTTTCCTGATGAAAAAGGAGACCTGGTTGTGGCAACCCTTCCCTTCTTCCTGCCTCCACTATGGATATGATGGTAGGAGGTGGGGCGGCCACCTTGTGATCATGAGGAACAAGCCAGGGGACTCACAGAGAAAGCAGCTCTGTGAACCCTTAAGCAGTGAGCCGAGGGCCACAGCTGCCTAACTGGGCTCCTTGTCCTGGGGGTGGGTGGAGGGGGTAGCAAATAACTAAATCCCACTGTGATTACGCCACTGTAAAAATAGTTTTTGTTTCTCACGTCTAAAAGAGTTCCTAACTGATAGAGCCCTACCTTAAAGGACTGGCAAATTAACGTGCACTCATATTTATCAAGTTCAAATAAAATGTTTATGGCTAAATAGGATTTGATTAGGAGTTAAGTATCGTGTATCTGGGAATCCCCACGTCTGTCTGGCTCCACACGGATCCCCATGGTTCCCTTAGGCGTGGAACCGGGTCTCCCTGAGGAAAGCCGGGCCAGGCACATGCTCTTCCTCCCCACACTCCTGTAGGGCCCCTGTGAACACTCCCCACCCATCTGCCCAGGCTGGGCAGGGATGTCCTCACTCCACAGTGACCCTCATGGCAACCTCACTATCCCCATCTGACAGATGAGGACACTGAGGCACAAGGACGTAAGTTACTGCCCTCGGTCCACTCTCTAGGAAACCTTATCCCCGGCAGGGAGGTGACATGGTAAGGTCTCGGAGTGAGAAGATCATGCCGATGACTGGAGTGTGCGCACCCTGAAGAGATGAGCCTGGAAGTGGGGGCTCAGCGGGGACCATCCTCCTCCTGGTGAAATCCTGATCTAAAAATTGTCGAAACCCGTCAAGGGGAGATGGGGCCTGGAGCCGGGCTCTGGGAAGAGCCTGCAGCAGGGGAGGTTTCCAGGAGCAGTAGTTCATAATTGCACATGAGTCAAAGGCATATTTTTAATTTGTCACATTACTGATGATTGTCATTTTAATCATTTGATTAAGAGGGTGTCTGCCAGGTTTCCCCACTATAAAGACTCTCCTTTGGAATTAGTATTTTGTCAGGAGGTACTTTGAGCTCTGTAAATATTACCAAATTTTCCACTTATCTTTTGATTTGTATCTGTATGGACTCCTGGTTTCCAGTGTTCTCCTATATAATTTGTTATTTATTTTGATTTTGTTTTCTTTCTCTCTCTTTTTTTTTTTTTGGTGAGGAAGATTGGCCTCGAGCTAACATCTCTTGACAATCTTCCTTTTTTTTTTCCCCTCCCCAAAACCCCGGTACATAGTTGTGTGTCCTAGTTGTAAGTCCTTCTAGTACTTCTGTGTGGAATGCTGCCACAGCATGGCTTGATGAGCGGTGTATAAGTCTGTGCCCAGGATCCCAATTGATGAACCCCAGGCTGCCAAAGCAGAGCACGTGAACTTAACCACGTGGCCGTGGGGCCAGCCCCTATTTTGATTTTCAAGTTTCGCCTGCCATGGCCAGAGGAGCTTCTTCATGCTGACGTCTGTTCTTCTGACGTGTCCCCATAGCTCTGAGCACCATCTTGCTTTATGGCACAAGAAGATGGGTTAGGTTCCTCTTACACTTGTCCTGCTCCAGACATGGATGCAGCCGTGTCTCCTAGGTGTCTTGGTTCCTTTTAGTGGAGAAGGGTCTTTAGAAGCCAAGATTTGGATGCTAGAGGTGCTCATTAATATCAGGGTGTCACCGCTTCTGTGTCCTCTTGGCTGGAGAAGATAAGCTCATGTCCCCACACACAGTGACGTCTGTTTATTTGTGTACCCCTCTCTAAACTGAAACCCTTGAGGACATACCAATTTCTCCAATTCCAACCCAACCCCACGGGACTCACTCTGCTTTTCCCCCTTTCTATATTAGTAACTCCCTTTTCCAACAATAAGAAATCTGATTCCCATTAGCCTTAATATAATCCATGTGTGTGACCCATCTCCCTTCTCCACTGCCACCCCACCCCTATGGGGATGCCTTTCTCACCCTGATCTGGCTTTGACACCCTAGGATAGGCTGCCTGTGCGAGTGGACACCCTCAGTACAAACACCCGCCCTGGGCGATGTGATACCCGCATGTGGAGACATCCTCCTCCCCCAGCTCATGCTCCAGCCTTCCCCACCAGGGTGCACTTCCGTGGGTCCATCCTCACCTTCCCAGGCCCTGATGCTCCGGGCTGTGCTGCCCCTCTGTGGGGATGCCGTCCTCACTCCTCTGCCCGGCATGAACTCTGGCCCCCGACACCGATGGCCCCCTCTCCCCTCCCCATCCAGTGCAGACACCTGCATCACCTCCTTGGGCTCTGACACCACCATGATTTCTCACCCTCCCCAGCCCCCACCACCAGCATGGATGCCCACCTTGCGTCTTATCCTTGAATTATTCAGGAAGAAATGAAGACATGAGCAGAGAAAGAGCAAATCCCATCCTCTTAGTTACTGTGCATGCCTGCTTCCTGAAGTCATGCAGTTCATGCCTCCTGCTCATTGGCACACATTCCTGACTTACCAGAAAGCTCCTTGAGGCCGGGGGCCATGTCCTCTCCATCTTCACGAGCCCAAGGGCCAGCAGAGGCCAGGCTTAGAGAGAGCACTCGATAGGCCTGTTGGAACATTGAATGAACGGATGCCCTCTGCTCTAATCCTCATTTTCGAGACTATCTTTCCATTTCCATTCTGGGGACAAAAGGTCAGAGCCTGGGACTGGCTCCCCCTCCCGTCTCACTCGAGCCAGATGGGGAGGCAGGAACAGCTCTGATCCCTCCAAACCCAAGTAGAGATTTCTGACCCAGCTGTCACAGCTCTAAGACACAGGGACAGAAGGTGAGGCCAGGAGAGGCAGGAAGAGTTGGCAGAGGCGAGATAGAGAAGATAAGGAGGCTGAGGCACCAGGCGGGACGGGAAGGAGGGGGAGCCTTCTTGAGATCCGTGCCTGGTGAACCCTGCCCTGGCCCCTCCATGCAGCTTCCCATGGGCCCTGCCTGCATCTTCTTGAGAAAAGGCATCGCTGAGAAACAGCGGGTGAGGTGGGGGACACTGGATGGCGGGCAGGGCAGAGTGAGCTGGGATGTGGGGAAAGAGGGGGCTTGCTGGGTGCCATGGACCAAAGGGGTCGGAGGGAGCATGAACTGAGAAGGCAGAAGAATTCCAGGGGAGCATGCGGGGTCATGAGGGTCAGTGACATGGGTGAGGATGGAATCAGAACTCAGGAGCAAAAGAGGGGAGATCAAGGAGGAGAAAAAAAATACAAGGGGAACTGGGATGATGTCACCATTGATGCTATCATTGTTCTTTTTTTTATGGACACCCATAGCGATGGCGGTGATGATGAGGAAGCTGGCGATAGCTGCCACTTACGAAGTCATTGCTATGTGCACAGCCTCGTGCACAGGGCTTTGCCTTCCTGATGTCATTGAATCCTCAGAACGCCTCGTGAAGGCGAAAATATTTTCATGGCCATTTTACGGATGAGGAAACTGAGGTTCTGAGTCATGAAGTCCTTTGCTTTAAACTTACACAGATAGTGGTAGGGCAGGTCTGTTTGATTGCAATGGCTTGGTTTTAATTGTTAGGATTTAAGATAAACAAAAAAAAAGGGGGGGGGTGGAGGGAACTAAGCGAGAAAGGGAAAATAAAGAGAATCTGGGGGAAAGGCTCCAAGGATAAAGGGAGATAAGGGGGTGTTAGAGGCCAGAGGTTGGTGGAATTGCCTGGATGGTGTGCCAGGTGTCTCAGCCTGACCCTTCAGGTGTGTCCAGGAGTGGGTGGCGGCAACAATGATCGGAAGGTCTTAGAGGTCTCAGGAATTGGCGACACTGGCACCGATCATCTGCCTGGATGCCACTGAACACTGGTCCCATGGGAAGGGATTCTGACCCTTGGGAGAAAGGATGGAGGTGGGTAAAGAAAGAATCAATGGGGTGTAGTGGAAAAAATTCTGATCTGGGAGTCAGCAGCCCTGAATTCAGATCCCAGCGCTGCCCCCGCCTTGCTGCGTGACCTCAAGGGCTCGATTTAATGTCTCCCTGCCTTGAGAGGAGATCTGCCGCTTAAGAGCTGTGTGACCCCAGGCAGATTCCTTAACCTCTCTGTCCCTCGGCTTCCTCTTAAATAAGATGGGCACGATATTTGGATCTACCTTACAGAGCTGTTCTGAGGTTTCAGTGAAACGATGGTGGAAGCCGCCTGGCACAGAGTCAGCACTCCGAACATGGTAGCTGGGATTCTGAGTCTTGCTTTCCTCATCTGGAGAAGAAGGGAGATTGGATTGCACGTCCTCTAAGACCCCTTTTGCCAAGATGGGATGGATGTCTATATGGGAAAGGCAGAAGGAGGGAGATCAAGATTCAAGGATGGGAGAGAGGAAATGATGAGAAGGGGGTGCGGAAGAAGGCAAGAAGCAAATAGCCATGGAGCGGGAGGCAGGACGGGAGGACGAAGATGAGAGGGGTCGAGGGGAGGGAGTAAGATGGCGCAGAGAAAGGGTGAGGAGTAGGTTGGGAGAGTGAGGGAACATGACTGGAGAAGTGGATGTTGGATCCCTGAGCCTCCCTCCAAATTCCCTCTCCCCTGCGTTCCTTTCCAGGAAAGACCACTGGGACAAGATGAGATCGAAGGTAACATCCTCTCCCCTACACGCCCCCACGTCCATCCCTGCCCGTCCCTGCTCTCTGTCCCTTTGTGCACTCCAGTGCAAGTCCCTTCCCTTGAAATGTTCACATCCCTCTCTCCTTCCACTCAACTGTGCTTTCGTGGAACTCTCTCTCATGGCAATTTAAGTACCTCCCGAAGTACTTAGAAGGTACACCCATCCCCAAGGGTCTCAGACACCCGGGAGTGACACATGAGTTTTAAGATGAATGGAAAATTGTTGTTTTTTTCTTTTGAAGTGTCCCATGAATTAACCCAAGAATTTGAAGGACTTCAGGGCTATCATTTTAGGGGTTTCGGGAATCATTCCTCTTGTTAACACGTTTCCTATATCACTGCTCTTCAAATTTTTGGGTTTTTTTAAAATGTGTTTTTCTTTGAGGAGTCTCTAGTCGGTGCCTCATTGATGGTTTCGAGAGATGCCACTCTTCCCCACTGATGTTTCAAGTTCCCCCAAAGATCTTCTCTCTTAATTTTCAGAGCTCCGGGAAGCATTTCTTGAGTTTGACAAGGATCGAGATGGGTTCATCTCTTGTAAGGATCTGGGGAATCTCATGAGGACAATGGGTTACATGCCCACGGAGATGGAACTGACTGAACTGGGCCAGCAAATCCGCATGAACTGTGAGGCTGGGGGGCGGGAGGCATGACTGAGTTTAGGGGAGGGCTAAGGGTGGAATGGGGAAGGACACGGAGGTTAAGAATAGAGTTTGAGATAAGGAGGTGGGTAAGGGGGATAGAAATCCAGAAGGAAGCAGCTCAGACTATACTTAGGGAAGCAGCATATGAAGTGGTAAAAAGGGTGACTTTTAGAAATCTGGGTTCAAGTCCCTGTTCTATTATTTACTAATTGTGGTTATTTTGAAAAGTGGAGTTAACCCCTAGTCTTGAAGTCTCAGTTTCCCCATCTGTCCAGTGAACATGATATCACTCCTTACCTTGTGGCTTTGTGAGAAGGAAGGGATAAAGATGCTAATGCAGGTAAAGGCTTAGCCTCTGGTAAATGCTTATTAAATGTAGGTTATCACTATCGCCACAAAGATGGTGGAGCGCAGGATTGAAACTGTATTTGATGCTGGAAACAAACTTGCAGTTGGAGCTGATGTTGATGAAGTGTTGCTGAAAGGATGGATTTTTAGGTGGCGACCTGAGCTGATTTTGAGATGGAAGCTGGGATAAAAACACTATTGGGTTTGGGGGCTATTCTGGTGGCATAGTGGTTAAGTTTGCACGCTCCACTTTGGTGGCCCAGGGTTCACAGGTTCGGATCCCGGGCACAGACCTACACACTTCTCATCAAGCCGTCGGCATCCCACATACAAACAATAGAGGAAAATCGGCACCAATGATAGCTCAGTGACAATCTTCCTCACCAAAAAAAAAAAAAAAAAAAAAAAGCTATTGGGTTTGCTTCTGGGCGTGTTTCTGAGTAAACCAGGTTGAATTCCAGGACACAATGGTATTCATATCAGGAAGAGATTTGGTGGTCCTTTAGTTCATACTCTCCCTCCGACAGATCGACAGATGAGAGAACATGGATCTGAACCAATGGACAGATTTGCTCCAGGTCACACGGACAGTTACTTCCACCGTAGCACGCTCCGTCCACCCTGTTCAGATCAGAGGGCTCTGAAGGCTCGAGTTGGCTGAGAGAGAAAGCTCTTAGAAGGCAGAGAGATTGGAGCAGATCTATTTCTTGAGCAGCCTTGAAGGGCAAAGTGAGGTCATGGAGGGTTGGGCATATGGCGTCTCACCAGACCTACGTCTTCTGTCCTCAGTGGGTGGCCGTGTAGACTTTGAGGACTTTGTGGAGCTGATGACCCCCAAGTTGCTGGCGGAAACGGCTGGGATGATCGGTGTTCAAGAGATGCGAGATGCCTTCAAGGAAGTGAGTTAACGGTTTCATAATATTGGAGGTGGCTGAAGGACACCCCGGAGGTCTATGGTTAGTCTTTAACCATGGACAGAACCCACTCAAACCAATTTTTTTCTGGCTATGGTGGGATTTATAGGGAAGGAAAATAACATATTCCAAGCACTTGCAATGGACGAGGTCCTTGACGTATTTTATCTAATTTAATCCTCACAAATAACATTAGGAGGAAGTAGTCGTTTATCCCAATCATACATACGAGGAAACTGAGGCTCAGAGAAATTACAAATTTTATCCAAGATCCTGCAAACTCCAAAAACACACGTTAGGACCTCTAATCTTCATGCCTGTCATAGCAAGAAGGAATCCAAGAATTTGAGATCCCAGAAAGGAACCCAAAGAGATCATCTGGTTTGACCCACTTGTAGAGCGGCTTCAGAGACGAGAACGAGGGAGGGGAAGGGCTTGCTGAAATTCGCTTATATCCCCTGATAAAGTGCTTTCCTCGCTCAGAGAGCTTTTAACTCCATGAGGCAAAAAGAAAGAATAGGGTCCGGCCACGTGGCTGAGTGGTTAAGTTCTCGCTCTCCGCATCGGCGGCCCAGGGTTTCACCGGTTCGGATCCTGGGTGCGGACATGGCACTGCTCATCAGGCCACGCTGAGGTGGCGTCCCACATGCCACAAGTAGAAGGACCCACAACTAAAAATATACAACTATGTACTGGGGGGCTTTGGGGAGAAGAAGAAGAAAAAAAAAGAAGATTGGGAACAGATGTTAGCTCAGGTGCCAATCTTTAAAAAGAAAAAAAGAAAGAAGGAAAGAATAGGATAGGGTTTGGAATGAAAGACTTTGGAGCCAAGTAAACACGGGTCCAAACCCTAGGGAGGTCTCCACCCGCTGGCTGTGTGATTTTGTCTCCCAGCTTCATATAAAGATCTGGAGCTGCATCGTCTGGTGGAACTTTCTGTGATTATGGAAATGCTCCATCCAAGACGGTAGCCACTGGCCACTTGTGGCTCTTGAGCCCTTGGCAGTATGACGAGTGTGATCGGGGAACCAAGTTTTTAATTTTGTCGAATTTTGATTAATTTCAATTGTTAGTTATTTAATTTCCATTTACCTTCAATTGAACATAAGTCCAATTCGTTTAAATTTAAAAACAAATACTTGACTCAATTATTGGGAAACATTCAATTGGAAAAACTTGGGTATGTGAAGCTTACTTTTCATCTAAGAATTTTATGAAACCTAAATACAGATCAAGTATTTCTGATAAAATTTAGCGTCTGAATTGAGAAGTGCTGTAAGTGTAAGATACACCCTGGATTCAGATTGAGTATCCTTAGCGTAGGTATCCTTATATGCTGAGTACGTTGGAAAACCATCTTAAGTACATGCTAAGTAAGGCAGTATGCTCAGTCTTGTGAAATCTGATGTGCGTAAAAAGAATGCAGCCCGGCTCATTCATAATTTTTAAATTGATGACATGCTGAAATGATAATATTTGGGAAATACTGGGTTAGATAAAATCAATTCTTAAAAATTAATTTTACTCGTTCCTTTTAATTTTTTTTTGTAATGCAGCTACTTGAAAATTTAAAATTACTCCCCGGGGCTCGCACTGTATTTCTTTGGGAGGGTGCTGCTCTCGGGGAATGCTATTCCGGGCTGAGGAGGCAGCATGTACAAGCGCTGGAAGGTGGAAAGGTGTATGTGAGGAAGAGCCAGAAGCCTGGGGTTCTTGGAGCGGCCTGAGCGGGAGAGAGAGTAGAACGAAATAGATGAGGTCTCAGAGTCGCCGAGGGCAGGGCCCGTCACGTGTGAGTTTGTGTGTTGGGGATCCGTGTCAGGATTTCATTCCGAGCGGGATAGGAGTGACAAGATCTGACTTATGCTTTAAATGAACGTGAAGGTGAGGTCCTGCTGTGTGGACCACAGACCACACAGGACCAGGACGGGAGCCAGAAGACCAGTTAGGGTCTGTCGCGACAATCCAGGCAAGAGCTAAATTGTGGCTTGACCTGGATTATCCAACAAATATTTGTCCAGCGCCTACCATGCGGAAGGCACTGCTTTGGAACTGAAGCATGGACCAGGGAACAAGACGGTCAAAGTTACTGGCCGCCAAGGAGCTGAACTTCTAGTGGATAATGTGCCAAAGCTCTTAGCTTAGTTCTTGACTCACAGTAAGTGATTGATAAACACGGCTGTTATTATTATTGTCGTCGTCGTTGTCGTCGCTAATATCATCCCCTTCTGCTCCTCTTCAGTTTGACACCAATGGAGATGGGAAGATCACCCTGGGGGAGCTGCAGCAGGCCCTGCAGAGACTCCTGGGAGAGAAGCTCACCCCCCGGGAGATCGCCGAGGTTGTCCAGGAAGCCGATGTTAATGGAGATGGCACCGTCGACTTTGAAGGTGACGTTGGATGAGGGCAGGAATCCACCTCCGACCGCGCGTGTGATTTTCCAAGTCGGCCGTTCCTTCTCACTCTTCCCTCTGTTTTGGGGCTGGGGGGCGGGGGCGGCAGGTTTCTGAAGCATTTATTCCATCCCTTTCTGCTCGTGTCATTACAAAGAGCTCAGCCTCTCCCACCTCTCCTTATATTTGCACCTGGCTACTCCTTGTCCAGTGACCTGTTTCTTCTCATGCTCGGTCCGGACTCACTTCCGCCTCTCCCATCCCTTCCGTGTTCCCTGGGCATCTTTGTCACAGGAACAAAATGTCCCGTCAGGAGGACAGTGGACTGGCTCATAGCTGGCCTCTGGGGTCAGATTCATGGGTTCAGGTTCAGGATCATCTCTTACGAACTATGTGGTCTTATCCTAGTCACTTCCTCACTTTAAGTGTCAGTTCTCACATCTGCAAAATGGGGATAATGGTGATGCCTTTCACTCGAAGTTTTAGAGAAAAGTAAAGAAATGACACCCTACGTGCCCCCAACCCCTGTCATTGCTCGTGTCGGTCTTCCCGTCTAGAATACCCTTTCTTCTTTCCGCTGGATAACTCTTAATTATGCTTCTGGAAGGTGCCCCCCGCCTCTCTCACCAGGCTCTGCGTCCCTTTTCTGTGGGGCCCCAACGCCCGTGCGTGCCTCTGCGGTCATCCTGGTCCATGACATCACGATAGCCTGTGATAGTTCATTGCCTGTTTCCTTCTGAGGCCACAGACTAAACCTCTCATCACTATGACCCCAGTTCCTAGCACAGAGCTCAACACGTGTGTATTGAGTAATTGGATAAATGAAAAAGATCCGAGTCCTGAGCGGATGGGAGTGGAGATCATTTTTGCGGGAGACGTCAATAGGGCACGTCAAGTTCCAAATGTGACACTCTCTGGTTCAAAAATCTCAGCATCCAACTGCTGCCTAGATGCCAAAGTCCAAAATGCTTAGTGTGATATTCAAGTGCGTCCAGGAACTGACCCCACCTCCCATCCCCCACCCCGCCCAGCTGTATCTTCTACAACCACTCTCTGGATTCTTATGCTCTGGTGCACACTCAGTACTTGTTCTGTGTTCTCCAACTTCTGTTCCTTTCTCCCTGATGCTTCTTCCACTTATCACAGCCTTTCCCTTTCATCAATGTCTCCCCAAATATTATCTGTCCCTCAGGGGTCGGCGCCATTACAACCTCTGCTAAGAAGCTTCGCTTCATCTTCTCAGCGTGTATTACTCCCAGCTGTGAAGTCTTACCGTTTTTCTACTCCCCTCCAAAGGAAGTTATGCCTGTGGACCTTGAAGGATGGGGTTGTGTCTGCCTCCTAGGCTGTGAAATCCTGGGGTGGGCGTCCATGGGGGATCTTCTCTAAACCATCTCCGCTCTACAATCCCCAGTACGGAAACTCGGCAGATGTTTGTTGTATGGCTGCTGGATCTAGCCAGGCTCAGGTGTGCAGTGGGCGTCAGTGAAGATCTGGAAGAGGTAGGAGAGAGATCTTTGAGGAGACGCCTCCTCAGGCCAACCACACGCAAGGGAAGGACAGACTGACCTCCAGACTTGGGTCGGGCCAGTAAATTCATCTGGCTCTGAGTCACAGCAAATCAGATACAACCTGCGTTCCTTGCAGGCTTTGCCTCTCACCATCCACATGACCTCAGGCATGTTGGTCAACCTCGCTGGCCTCAGTTTGCTCATCTGTAAAATGGCATTTACCCCTCCAGGATTGGTTGAAAAGATGAAATAAGATACGCATAATTACTATTTATCGAACACTTCCTGTGTCTTGTAAACGTTATATTGTTTAACCATCTTCAAAACCATCTGAGGTAAGTCGCCCTTCGGATTCCCATTTTGAAGATGAAGAAACTGGGGCCTGGAGAGGTCAAGTAACTTCCCAAAGGTCATCTGCGGTTCCTGACATGTACTAAGGGCCCAAAAAATAATGTCAGCTGCTCCTAGAAGTAGGCGCCTCACCAGGGACTTCTCTTTGCAGAGTTTGTGAAGATGATGTCTCGCTGAGGTGCTGCTGGAAACCCCGGTCACTCTCCACCTGGCCGACATGGATCAAGCACTTGAGGCCCAAATCCCCACGGCCCCTTAAAGGACAGAGGGTGGGGGGTGTCGGGACTGGCCTTGCAGAGGCATGGATGGAGGTTAGACTGGAAGTGATGGCTTTGCCCGGATGAGGTTGAGCGGGGAGTACATTTCTAGAACTAGATTAAGAAGGGAGAGTCTATGCGTGGGAACGTGAATAGGACCAGGGTCTAGTTGCCACCCTAAGAATCCCAAAGATTAGTGACATCTTCTGACTTCACGTCATTCTGATTCCCTCTGACTGGCCTGAGTCTCTTCCCCAGCTTCCTCTTGGGTTAAAATAGTCTTTTCTGCTGTTAGACGGTCAAAAAAGTTCAGCTCGTAGTCTACCCTTCGAGCTTCCTGCTTCAACTGCTTCAAATCCGCTCAGTTTCTTTCTCTGGGTGAGAAAGAGAAGGATGCTAATCACGAGGCTAGAAATAGGGTTCTTGACAAGGCTGGGAGTGGAAATGGTTAATTAAAGAGACATCGGAGTGAGTTCACCCACTTTTCTTGATTTCCTGGAAACACAAGTTTGTTTTTTCCCCTCTGGTCTCCTACTTTCTTCTCCTGGTGTAAGATACTCAGGCCACTGAATTAAATCACAAATCTGGATTATCAAGGTTTAGGGCAAGCTGATCCCTGGGGAATTAATCCCCTGCAAAATGTCATCATGCAAAGAGAGAGAGGACAGGATCTTCCAAATCCTCAGCTGGGCCAGGTTGCCGCCAAGCCGTTCCTGGAAGCCCCCTGCCTCTGTGTCGTCTGCCCTGGGCTGCTTCCCTCTGTCCCGTGGGAAGTCGATTCCATCCTTCACATCCTGACATTGATCTGTGCTGTGAAACTGGAAAGACATCTTCCTCCTCACCTCCGCCTGTGACCAGCACAGCTCAGTCCCGCCAAGGTCCTCAAAATAAAGAATTCGTTTCACGCCTTCCTCCAAGGTTTTCTCGCTTTTGAAATCCACCAAGAAGGTATATAGAATGGGTCATCTGATTCAATAGTCTCATTTCAAAAAATTTTAAAAAGTGGAACCAGAATAATGTATTTCCTAGCCTCTTACTGCGGCCGCTCCCTTTGCGCCATTCGGCATTATCCCGAGACCGTCTTGTTTTTAAGCTTCATACCCTTCCTTCCTTCCTACTCTCCTTCCACCCTTCATTTACTCATCAGCAGTCTATGAAGTGCTTGCTATGTGGGAGGCGCTCTTTCAAGCATGTGGCCATCGCAGTAAATAAAATAGACCCAAACCCCAGACCCCAGGAGCTTACATTGTAAGAGGAGGAGATAGACACGGGACAAAATAAATGAGTAAATATAATCCTATTTAGAATGTTAGAAGGTGATGAGAGAGATGGAGCAGGAAGGGGGTTTAAGGGGGTCTGTGGATGGGGAGGAGTTGACATTCTATGTAGGGTCATCAGGGAGTTTACTGAGCCCCAGGGGCATACCTGGGGAAGAGCATTTCAGACACAGTGTAGGGCAGATGCAAAGCCCCTGAGGCAGGAATGTCCCTGGAGTGTTGGAGGAATAGCAAGGAGATGAGAGTGGCTGGTGAGGGGTACGTGGTAAGGGGTCAGGGTGGATCAGGGGTGAAATCATGTAAGTGTGTTTTTGGAGGTCATTATGAGGACCTTGGAGGGTTTTCAGCAGAGGAGTGACACAACCCAGGTCACCCTTTAAAAGATGACTTCAGCCTCCTGTGTCGGCTCCATCCCGTTCCATCTATACACTCACCCACCCACCCAGCCACTCGTTCACGTACCTATTCAATATAACGATGGCTGAATCCCTGCTATAGGCCTGGCATTGATCCAGGGGATGGAAATAGAGCTATGAGGAGTTACTTGACCTCGAGGAGCTTATATTCTAGAGCCATGCAATTCGATAGGATCTTCTGCGATGACGGAAATGTTTTAGATGAGCCATGTGGCTGGCTATTGAGTATTAAATGTGGTGAGTGAGGCTTCAGAGACTGAATTTTCTTTTCTTTTTGTCAGTAACATTTTATTAAGAAGTGAACAATTTTATGAATTACTTAAATTTAAATAGTCCCATGTGGCCACTGTCTTGGACGGTGAAGGTTTGTGCTATGAGCCTGGGATTATTCTGGGTCCTGGAAACAGCCCGGTGATAAGATCTTTGCTTTCTTGGAGCTTATAGTCCAGTGTGAGGGGAGCAGAAAAAAATAATCACTTAAGAGAAGCTCATGTGGGATGAATACTTTAAGGAAGAAAACACGAGGTGGTGAGCTACCAAGAGAATTGGGCGAAGGGGCAGAATTAGCCAGAATGGTCAGAAAGGGTATTTCTTAAAGACAGGCTGTCTCAGGTTGGGTTCCCAGGGTTCCTCCTCTGTCTGAGTGGAGATGAGCATGCAAGATGTTTATCAACGAGTGTCCTTGGGATCAATACCTGGAGTGGGAACTGGCATCAGGCAGAGGGAGAAGCTGAATTGCTGTGTAAGCTCAACAACCGCGGCCAAACCCACGGGAGCTGTTGACGTAGTTCTTCTGTGTTATCTCACTTGGGTTGAAATGGCCAGGTCATGGGCTGCCCTGGGAAGGTCATGACCTTGGGTGAGGGAGGCCACTCTGCAGCTGAGGACATCTCTGATTTGGGGCTGACCGCTGAAGGCTGCCTGCGGACAGCACTTGCCGGGACTGGGCAAGTCCTTTGTGGAAGGGCGATCTGGAGGCGCATCACCGTCTCCATCACAGGGCATTTCAAGAGGGACGGAATGACGTGAGGAGGAAGCTACAGGAGGACAAGGAAGAGGAGGACTCCAGCCCAACAAGGCACAGAGGCTGGAGTGAGCTTGGTGGGCTCAAGGAACAGAGCAGCGGCTTGAGTGTAATGAGCGAGGCAGTGGGGGGAGGTAGAAAATGAGATGAAGGAAGGCTCTAAACAAGGGGAGGAGACGTCGGGTCTGGGGACAGCAGAACTACGCTTACCATGGCATTTTTGTACGTGACTGAGTGGGGAGCTCTCCTCTGGTGGTTCTTGAGCTAAACTGAGAAAGATCTACTGTTAAATCTTCAGGCTTCTTGCACATCTCTGCGACATCATTTTAATTTGACAATCAGATTGTCATTGAATGAGTCTGAACAGCTAAAATCAATGCCTGATGTCTGAGCCTAGTGGGGGATCATGGCAGCAGTTGTTCAGAGTATTTAATTTAGAAGGAGGAGGAAGGGGAAGAGGAAGAAGAAGAAAGACAAGGAGAACAACACCATGAGGTTGCATCTGGGCTCACAGGGAGACAGATTCTGCAATCAGTTATTGATGTCTGCCATGGGCATGGGGGAGGAATAGTTAAGGCAGTTTTGCAATGAATTTTCTACCCTCCACTTCCTTACTAATTTATTCATTGATGATTTAATAAGTACCTACAAATGCTCCACCCAAATCTGTGACTTCCCAGAAAGAGACCCAGAAAGGGTCACTGGGCTGAGAATTTGATCTCCCCACCATGAGATTCGCCAACTCAGTCACCAACCCAATAACCAACGTTTCCTTTACCATGCCTTCGGATCCCTCAGATCTCTTATTCTAGGAGGCAGAAAAGACAGCCGCAGAGTTAGTTTGG